ATGACATCCGCGGGGGCGGAACCAGTGGAGCTGAGCATGTAGCGCCAGATGGCGGTGACGTTCTGGCCGGCCTGGACGGTGATGACCTTGGAGGTTGGTGTCGTGGGGTTGGGGGCGCCGTTGCAAGCGAGAGAGCTGGAGGTCACGTCTTCGATGGGGCCGTTGTAGGAGGGAACGCGAACGCCGTTGCCGACGCCCTGATTTGTGCCGCCGACCTCAAGGGATGAGAAAATGGTGTGGGCGCTGGCCATGCTGGCCGTCAGGAGAGGAACAAGAAGCTTCATTGTGGGTTCGGACTACCAAGTTTCCTGGACAGAGAATGGCTGGATGAAAGAACGAATATGTGCTCAAACGCGCTCGGCTTGATTTAGGCAGTGGTCAAGAGAAATGTAAAGTAACGAACTGGAGGGGTATATATAGGGGTTTCCCACACTAAGTCATCAGATACAGACATCGCGAGTTATGCTTTTCTCTCCGGAGGATTTCCCGTTCAAGGCGAGTTGGACCAGCTGACAAGAAGCCAAGACTGCCACGCCGGCGACACACCGGCCGTGATCTCGCCATGCTACGAAAGATAGGCGAATCGTCTGATTTTATGAGGTCGGGAGGACCACCAGCAAGGGCTCCGGGTGGATCGACGGAGGATGATGGTCCGGCTTACACAGCGATGTTGGTCGGAACCGGTACCGAGATTCCCGTTCGCCGTGACCCAAGCCTCTGGGCATTCACTTATCGAAATAATCTAATTCGTGCTTATCTACTCGTCCCTGTCTTCTCGCGGCGCATCTTCACCTCGTTCCTGGTTCTGCCGTTTCTCATGGGTGCGAAGATGTTCTGGGAAGATAGTGTCAATTGTCAACTGCCTGAACCAGCAAGGCATTCGAAACGAATGACTACCCTGTAGCACAGAAACATGTACTTCATGCAGCTTAAGATACATACCCAGGTGAACGACCGCATAGTACGTATGTGCGATTAGCGCATGCTGGTCCATCGACAGAGACTACATGTCACTTAGAAATGTTGCGTTTGCGATGTGACATAAAAACCTGACTTTCCTGAAGACAGACTTAGCCACCACTAAAGCCAAAGCCCCTGATTATGAACGATTTCTTCTCACTCATCCTATGCACTTCTGGGTTGCAGCATGCACACACTTACTCCTGCAGTCGCCATTTCCAGTCGATTTTCGACATCAAACCCATCTTAGACGTCGTGGTATTAACAGGAATCCCATATTTACACCACAAAGTCGGGCCTATTCAGCCTTGCCGTATGTGAATGGGGGCTCTCGAGCGATCAAGTTAATTGCACACTTCTGCGAAAACAGTATTCTTGTTCATTTCCGAGAGAGATGGGCGTTAGGACGTTTGAGGATTGACCGTTTTCAGCTGAGCCAACACTTGCAACGTGGGGTCTACTATGTCCATGAAAAAGATGTTGACTCGCGACTGAGAGACAAGCAAGTTCATTGTCGAAATAGAGAAAGGCGTACAATAAGAGACACGAGCGTTTGGTACTAGATTTGATCTAAGGTATAGAGCTTTGAGAGGTCAGAGATGATGGAAATCGTCCGTCGCCGCATTGAGACCCGATTGAAACAAAAGTAAAAAGTGCCTGATACAATTACGATGGCAAAGCCAACGCGACTTGTGCAGATCGCATTGCATCAGCTTAACCCGGTCGGTGAGTATCCGATATCGACTCCATAGAACAACGGTATAGCTACTCGAAGTCATAACTTTGGGCGGTTGCTTAGGTCATTGTCAATGCCTAATTGAACTTGTGACTTGCGAAAACGGTCGTCTGATATCTCACTAGGGCAAGCCACCGGGACAAAAAATCTAGATCGATTAACGTCACCAACTGGAATTTTTCGACTCTTCCTTCCCGGGTGGCTTGCTTAGTAGATCCACTAAGTCGCTGGTTCCTGCACTAGACCACGCAAAGAGTCCTCGGAGCCCTGGCAGGGTGGGTATTTTAGCTGAAGGATGCGGTATTAGTGCGATCGATGATTACTGTTTTTTTGACAGAAATTCTCGGCCGATCTCCCGGCATCTCTGACCAGATGGATGTGGACTTTTGTTAGCAAACCAGACCATGAAAATGGACGCGTTAGTTAACCGGTTATTCTATGCATGGCGGCGAACGAGAACTTGACTATTATGTCACCTTTCATGCAATTCCAACAGCACCAGATCACGTTACCTGCAAGCTTGGCACTAGAGATGTGTTACGTAACACCACTTCCCCCTTTCTCAGATTGTCGTCTTGGCAAGCCAAGTGAGATTTCTAACTTCCAGACCGTGGGCAGTGGAGTATCATCCAAAGAAGCTTTTCCAAGGCGTTGCATCTTGCAGCGCGCCCAGAAACAACTCTTCCGCACCTCCGCATCGAGCCCTCTCAAGACGGGAGAATGGAGTCTCGATCATGACTGTTTCCATCACCATCATGCCCTTGAGAAGTGACGAGGCAGAACTTCCCAACTTCACATTGTTTGCACACGAAAAGAGCCACGAGTCCTGTGGATACCTGGCAGATTTGCTCCCCGCTTCTCCCCATAAAACCAGGTTCACTCAGGATGAACCGTTGGACGATAGAGCCTCACGCGAAAAGAGGAGGTCAATGCCCTCGTAATCTACCAATCATCCTTCCTGAAACCAAGCAGCAGCTGCCAACGAGAACGGGCTCGCGGCAGTGCAAGCTTTAGTGCCGAGGAGAGTCACGGGAGGATTGTGTAGATCCGACAATCCAGTCCGCGGTGTGCGCGGGAGCTCTCACCGGGGGAAAACCGAGCGGGCCTCCGGGACAAAGGTATCCACTGTTTGTGACGTGACGATCGAAATGAATCGGACCTTTAGCCAAACCGAGCGAGCTGAATTACAAAACAGAGCGCGGTGTCTTCGACTGTCCGCTCCAAGTTGTTCCAAACTTCCAAGGCTATTCAACAACGGGTTAACTCAACGGCTGTGTCTCAGTTCAGACCGCTACAAAAAGCAAATGGCGGCCCGGTGAGAATGTGCCGTGGCTAGTCTGAGGTAGGTAGGTAAAGATAGAAACCAACGAACACGAGAAACCACATGCATTTTCTTTGTGTTCCCCAACAGCTTTAACTGGAGGGTGCCAAATGCACCTCTCGGCGGCATGCCTGCTTTAGTGGCGACTCGAGTCCTCGAAGCGAGAAAAGAGATAGAGAGAGAGACTGCGAGAGGTCTGGCCTGGGCCGGCCGGACAAGTCTGCGCCCCTTTCTCGAACCCACTTGGGCCGGGTGGAGGGTCGCAGTTTGGCAACCAAGAATTTCGACAAAAACTCCTGATTTGTTTGCCATGCGAACCCACTTGCCGCGTGGGAGGTTGCATTGTGCAGTCCCATCGAGAATTTCGATAAAACTCCTGGGTGTTTACCATTGCGCCAGTGGTCCATTTGCCTCCGTTTCTCTCTTCCCTTCCCCGTTGCGCGCGTAGTATCTTCTTTGCGAGTTTCCGGCCACCACATTCTTTTGATCAACAACTTTCCCACCCCTTCCACTCTTTTAACTTAGACTTATTCGTAAAGTTTAAGATCAGCAAACAACGATCCAGTTGATTATCACACTCATTATTCAACGTCCGCTCTTTATTCCGAATTTACAGTTATAACCTACCTGTAAATCCATACCAAGTCCTTCATAATGGCCGTCCGAACCGCCGAAGTAGCCGCCCCTGCCGTGACCACCGCACCCACCGGTACTCCCGTGCCCGTCGCGACGGTGGCACTCACGACAACCTTCACGCCGCCCGCAGAATGTGTTGAGAACCACTTGACCATGTTGGTCGGCGCTCTCGAGAAGATCTGGATTAACGAGCCCGTACCTCTGCCCAACTCGACCCTTGCATCCTGCCATCCCACGCAATGGGTCAACGGCTACTCATCCGCCCTCTCCGCCTCCAGCTCCATCGCGCCCTACATGAGCCCTCTCGTTTGCCCGAGCGGTTACAGCACAGAGAGCAGCACCTGGTCAAGCGGATACATTGCCTGCTGCGCTTCGTATGTTTCTACCAGCCCTCTTACCTGAGCCAAGATTAGCCAAGATTACATCCAAGATACTAATTCTACCTAATAGCGGCTTCACCTTCGCTGCACCCGCCAAGACCGCCGACGCCGATCGCCCAGCTTACGGCGGCACATGTTACAGCAACTTCGACCTCAGCCAGACCGCCACCGTCACCGTCTACAACCCCGAGGAACTCTCCACCACCATCGCCTGGGTCGCGACAACAACGCCTGCACAAGCCTACGCTCACCCCATCGACGGTATCGCAGCAGACTACACACCGGGCGCCTCCACCTCAGGCTCATCCGGATCAACAAAGACCAACAGCGCCGGCGTGGCTGTCGAGACGGACGAGAACGCGGCGCCTAAATTGGGAGGCAACTCAAGGGCAGCATTCGTTATCGGATTCCTGCTCGCGAGTGTGATGATGTGGTAGATTCCCCCCCAACTAGCCAGTGCAGGCAGCTGGTTGTGATCAGCGACCACAACCATTATGTTACGACTTAAGATTCTGCTTCTTTAACTACCGGATTATCGAGGGAAAACGGCACTTCGCCAGGTCATGTCATTTTGCAATATTACGAAAGAATATTCTTTGGGTCTACCTTACCTCTCTAGTAGCCTTTTATACTACATAATTTTCAACCAAGCTTTGCGCAGCTTATGCTCATCACCGCACGGGGCCAGCTCCACCTCACACCAGCTTGTACATACGCACCGCCCGAATGTCTTGTGTGTGAACTTGCTGCAAACGGAGGAGTGTGTCAATGATTTGGGAAGGAATCTAAGTGCGACTAAATAGAATTAGACGAGTGCGAACTCGGCTCTCGCGTCGTTCAAAGCTCGTCTTTAACCGCATGACGATGATCAACAAGCGCTTCTTTCAAGTTCTCATCCGCCCCCGCCATCTTATGCAAGTCCGCCCATCTTTCATCTTCGTCTTCATCGTCAATAAGAACCGCCAACCTACTGATAAACTCGATTAGAGTCTTTCGGTCTGTATTGAGCCAGGCAGCCTTCGTCATTCAATCAGCGGTCATGCTCGTCATGTCAACGAGCCACCAAATCTCTATGGCGCTGGGAATATAGGTAACTTACTTCGGCGTTCTGGATCACGACCCGCCTGGACTCGTACATCTGTTTTGTTTCTTGCGTCACCTTCAAAGTGCCCCGAACGCCAAAGATCTTGCACAGCGCTTTCCGAGCATATTCCTGCTCCTCTTCTGTGTCCAACGATGCGTCGAGGAATGGCTTGAACTTGGATGTGACATAGGTAAAGTTGGTCGCCTCGATGATTTTAGCCCATGTTGCCTGTGTCTCGTTGAGGGGCTCCATCTCGTCATGGAATTTGTTGAAAGCTAGCTGCAACTTGTCGCCGGCGTCTTCCCATCCAGCCTGTTGCAACCGGATCTAGAAGGTTCAATGGTGGTAAGTCACACGTAAAAGAAGACAAGAAATACCTTCTGTCTTAAGTTGCCAAGTTTCTTTCAGTTGGCGTACGGGATAAACTTACTTCAATCACATTGTGCGTGCTAGCATATCTGTACAGGTCTACCCATCGAATGTCTTTCGCTTCTCGCCTCAATACAGTCCCATAAGCTGTATCAAAAACAGCCTTTGCTATTTCAATATCGCTGAAGGAGTTCGAGAAGGCTGTGCCATTTTCGTTGGGCATTGGGGATTCGTTCCAAGGCATGTACATGTAAAAAGCCTGGTAGAGGTGGAAGAGAACATTGAACCAAAGTGAGAAGACATGCTTGAAGACAAAACCACTGGTCCCCATGGTGAGCTCGCGAAGTTGCTACGCTGGGATCCAACTGTATCGAGTGACTTGCAATTGGAATAGGAAAGGTAAGGTGAAGAAGCTGATCGGATGCAGGAGTTCAGCGCAAACATGGCGGACCTTCGAGCACTTAAGTATTGAGTATGAACAGTGTCAGGCACAGCAAGCCACTTCTCCTCATGCTGGCTTCCGAGTCTTTGCGGCGTCAGTTTGCTAGATACTGTCCATATTCCCACGCCCACTCGAACCAACAAACGTCCACTTTTCCGCAGCATCCCAGCAAGGCGGCGCCCCTCGCGAGGCACATCCGTCAGATGCAGTTAGCTCAAGGCTCCCTGCAATCATTACAGGAAACATTGACGCCTCATCATTGGCCCAATCACCATCGTAGGAGCTCCATCCTGGCATCTTCAGGTACGTTACTGTCAGTAAGGCAAGCGGCATTGATGCGATTTGTGGGCAGTAGTCTGGAAACGGGCATCTGAAGCCTCTCTGGTCAGGCACATAAGGTTCATGCAAGTACGTATCTCAAGTTCAGCACGATGCCTTGTGGCTTAAGGAGGCTGTCTGCCATGCACCGCTGCCTTAGCATAAGACTCGGAAACAACCGACAGCAAATGCTGCCTCCTGACTTGGGTAAAAGGCATTCGATACGCCAGGTGCCATTAGAACGAGTTGCAGCAATATTCTCGGACGCTCATCTCGAGTCCAGAATTACAGAAAAGGTGATAAATTGACACACGCGAGCAAGACAACATTCTCGGCTCTCGTTATAGAAGACGAACGGATAATATGAAACGGAGTTTCGAATATTCTCATCGCTGAACACTGCCACTAGCGGTTCTTCAGATCTTCTTCTTGAACCTTACAAGCGACCTTCATGCACAGGATTGATCCCATAAGCAGTCTTCTCAATCTGCCAGCCTCAAGACCTCCGGATGCAGGAGCGGAACCAGCGGGGGGCTGTGCCTCAGTATGACGCCTCACCTCCATGCTTGGCAGACACCTCACAGAAGGAACTTCAGTTGAATGCCTAGTTCTTACGCCCAGCCCAACGCCCAACCCAGCACACAGTCACTTGAAAGTTCGCGCCAACTCACAACTTGAAGACGACGTCTCGAACGGATGCAATGAACATGTGCTTTCACGGTTTTCGATTTCTCACAGTACGATGGAGAGCTGTGTGCTTCAGAAGCTATCATCGGACGGAATTTCCCTTCCCAACTTCACTCTTCATCATACACTTTCTCTAGGTATGTGAGCTGCACGCATGCGAGATAGTAGATTAGGTTTGGAATTTCACGGCACCAAAGATATCTAGACATCCGAAGAAACGACGATTCGCACGCTCAGTTACAGCCACCTGTGTTATCTAGCAGTTAGAAATATACGGGCCCGGGACTCTGTATCGAATGCCATGACCCGGACCGGTTCAGAAGGTCCTATGTCGGCTACACTAACCCCCACCCCCGAATGCGGGGAAACTTGGCGGCCTAACCATGCACAGATTTTGCGGGGAGCAAATGGACAGCGGAGGATGAGGACAGCGGCGAATGCGCAGAGATCTTCTTCGTCCACCTTGTAATCAAAGCAGGCTCATAGGTTACCAATACCGTTGACGCGATTCGCCCTGTCATAAAGAAGCCGGTGCCACCAAACTCAGCATAGAGCTCGCCCGTCACTCACATGTCGGTAGAAGACTCTTCGCCGTGCTCGCCACGTGCCGACGTTACCACACGGCCGCGGAAAATCTGGACTCCTGAAGAAGATGTAACTCTGAAGAACCTTGTTGCTCGCTACGGAGATGCAAGAGGCCCGCAGGGACATTGGAAGGATATTGCCGCTGCGCTCCAAGATCGTACTGCCAAGGTTAGAATCATTCTATCCTCTAGAAGCACAATAACTGTGTGGGCTGACATATCACCAGGACTGTCGAAAGCGATGGTTTCATTCTCTTGATCCGTCTCTCAAAAAGGGTCGATGGACAGCACAAGAAGATCAGATTCTCTTGTCGGCTTATGCTCGGATGGGCCCCGCATGGCACGACATCGGTATGCTAGAATCCTCTGATACACATGTGTAATTTCATCTACTGATACCGGTCTCTTTGCATGCGAAGCCCTCCTGATACCTGGGAGGAAGGATGACCAATGTTCGAAAAGATACGTCGATATCCTGAGTCCCAAAGTTAAGGACCGCCTTAGTGGCTGGTCCTTACAAGAAGACGAAGTTTTACGAGAAGGTGTTCGGACGCTTGGTCATCGATGGTCTGCTTTATCGGCAAAACTGCCAGGCCGGCCACCTCTCACCTGTCGTAACAGATGGCGAGCATTGTCAAAAACATCGAAAAGGCCTCTGTCTACAGGAAAAACCTCCCCACGGTCACTTGCCACAACGAATCATGGCGATGCTACGCCATCTAATGCTCCCGAGCCCTCCTTAACCTCGCTGCTAGTAGCAGCTGAAGCTGATGCCGACATCAGCAACGTCATCGATGTTGATGATATAACCACATCTATGGTGGAAATGAGCACCGGGCTAGATGCGGACGACTTTCGTTTCGTCGGTGATGCAACATCATACAATTCCATCTTACACCAGGCCCAATTTAGCTCAACAATTTCACCGAGCTTAGATCTTGGCCACGTATCCGAGCCGCTGCACCAGTCTCTAATAGGACCCACCTTGAATAGTTGCAAAGGAATTCTCAAAGCACCGAGATCAAACAGGCTTGATATTGAGATAACACAAACGAGTCAATCCTCTACGATGCGCAACCCAGAAAGATCGTTTCCGGTTGCAGATATCACGTTGGAGACCCCAGCTCTCCCACTAAATCCAATCTGCTCAAGCACATCCCCATCTCAGTACCTCTACGCCTTCCCTGATGATAACCTACCAAGTCAGCCGACAGGTCCTTCCATGGACGTAGGACCACCACAACAAGTTGTACACCACCACCATTATCATCACCATCATTATCATGAGAAGGGTGAGAGCTTTGACGAGTCTTTGAGGCAATTACAGGGGGAAGCAGAGATAGAGTCTCTTCGGTCATAGATTCGACTTTTGGGCAGCCATCTTCTGCTGTGAGGGATGCATAAGCCTGAATGAGTTTAGCGATGACACATGTAAACATCCGCTATTCGAGTGTATCGTTTCCTTCTAGAGGTAATCAATTGCATTTGGACTAGAGGTATGAACAAATACGCATGAAAGTGAAGAAGAAACGCAAGACGAGTCTATCCTAAAAAAGCAGTGCAATTAAAATATCTCAATCCATGTTCACCATCATGATGTAAGTTCCTCGTCAATGTCGTAAACATTCTTGGGTAAAAACCTTAACGATAAGGCTGGATCTCTCAAAGGCCCTTGTAAATTGTGCTGTCATTTTGTTTGTGCCACTATAAAGCATAAAATGCCATCTTCGAATGAAGAACCAATTCCGTCCTATGCCTTGAAAACCCCAACCTTAGCTCTACAATAGAGTCTCCAGATGCGCCGTTCTTGTCGCATGCTTTCCTGAAATCGCAATTATTGATGGCTTTATCGACCCAGAAGAAGTTATCGTAGTGGTTACACTCGGTATTTCCGTTGTCGTAAACATAAGGGTCCTTACCATCACATACGGTAAGCGTGGCGTCGCTATTTGGTGTTACATCAGCCTTGGTGCAATGGCAGTACTTGTATGTATCACAAGCTTGACTGGTCAGACCCAAGGTCAGAACTGAGGAGACGACTGATGACTTCATGGTGTGAGTATATGTATTACCGGATACATCAGCTACGAGCACATGCGTTTAGGGTATCTCTGTAAAGGGTAACTAGACTAAGCATACCGTCAACTGAGTTATGTGTGTCCGTGCCTATAAGTGGTGTCCTGTTGTGATGGTTTCTCGAAGTCTAAAAGGCTGTGCAACCTCCATGCATTAGGAACTACCTTCTTAAAAAGTTGAGCTTGTGGTTAGGACGGGCATCCGTGGTAAGCGTGGCGTGCTTGTCGATGTCACCGATTCTGCGATGTGGATGCCACAATCTAATTTGAGTTCCTGTAGTGTATTCGTTTTGAGAAAGATTAGCGCGGCCTCTTTCACTTTGTCTTTCACCTGGCCAAAGCCTTTCATGGAATATAGCAACCGGAGAAGAAATGATCCTTCTCGAGAGAAATAAAAAAGACTTGAAATTTAACAAGGGAACTTGCAGTCATTTGAATCCTCATCACCGAACTAGATGGAATAGTCGAGGAACAGAATGCACGGCGACTCGGCGACTCGTACTTATGAATAGCATGGGATCCACTAACACGTTTATGAGCTTCTACCTCCTCTCCACATCAGGGAATGGAAGCCAATACATCTCTTATGCATACAACAAATCTTGTGTCACCCATTCGAGGAGTTCCAACCACGGGCTAAGGTGGTCAGGGGAGGGAGTGCAGTGCCATATAGTAAACCTAGTGGGGCAAAAATCAAATACATACAACACCAGGTATTCGCTGATCGTCACCGACTCAACTACTAATCCGGCCCTCATTGGCTTGTCTATGGGAGAGCGGACGGGATCCCGAATTTTCCAATGGGTATGGTCGTATGTGCTTCAGATTGAAAGGTAATCCTATTATATCGCGAGTGAGTTGAGGTTGAGTGTTGACTTTTGTGGCTGATACATTGTAGGGCTTCACACGCTCATGATTTCCGGCAAAGGATCTCTCGGGTATTTCAGTCAGACAAAACGGGAAAATTTGAGGGAGTAGCGAAGCTGGCTCAGTATCCGCGATGTGCAGGGTTGGTTGAGGTTTTTTGTTCAGCTGTGGCGTCAGTCAGCCCAGGCAGCTTCGTCAAGTTGATTGAGGACACGATGGGTGTCGAGTTGAGTAGGTCCTTGACATCTTCTTACGCATCAATGATGGGGCAGATGAATTTGGCCGGAAGATGGGGATATTTCCTGACAGCGGAAGCCAGCACACGGAAGCATAAATAACTAGGCCAGGGTTTGCAGAGAACCAGGTTGGAATTTTCGATTCTGCTGTTGTCGAGTAATACTGTTTCAAATATAAACCAACTTATATGACTTTGAGATAGCATGTCCCGTATGTAAGTACTGTAAAACGAAGAACCCTTCGCCAAGTTCATACGAAGTTCTGCAGATGCGTGCATAACCGTTACGTGACCTGTCACGAGTCTCACGGGAACGCTATGAACATGAGTCTCGACGTATCAATCAAGCCCAACATTATTGCACATCGTGGACCTCCAAAAACAGTTAAGAATAACACAGTCCTAGCCTGGGCTAAGATTATCAGAAAGCACCTGTGTTACGTACTAAATGAAAGAGAGTCTTGTAGCACACTGACACGCGATACAAGAAGGGAAGATCTATGAGATATTCCCATAGCTGCAAAAGAGACGCACAAGTTTATCCACGATATTTGATGGTCCCTCATCAGAGTTGGATTGTCGGATGTATTCTACTTTAGAAAGAAGAATTCAATCTGTGATTTGGTGACGCCGAAGAGCCATCTATTTATCAAACCAACCGAAATGCGCTCGGGTTCCATCCGTAAGCCTTTGTCCATCTCCGTGTTAGTATGAAAGACGTGTGTCTAGCGATTTCCGACTTATAGGGATGTTTGATAGTAAGCGGCAGCTCTGCAATGACCTCGTCTGCAATAAAGTGGGTGCAAATCCCGTAGATGGACCTACAAGAGAATCCGATGTTCTCCAACGAGTACTCTATCTTCCCAAGTGATGCGCTTCCGGGGTTTGGAGTCCCCAAAGAGCTTCGTGAAGGTTTCAAAACCCAGCGAGTCGACTTGAATCGAGCCTGGAGGAGAAATGTAGGGTCCGGTTTTGCCCACTGCAGCAACACCAATGCTGCTCTAAATGTTATCATACAGCTTTGTAGGCTCGGTCGTACCAGTAGCGTGACCCTTTGCCGTAATTCTGCGGTACTCAACTGCCTCCTCCTCAGTCTTGGGCGTTTCGATCGGTAGAGGTGTCCAATCCATCTTCCCTTTGGCCTTGGCATCTTTGTGCTGCTCGTCAAGGTAGGACCGGCAGTCAGCGAATGAAGCACTGCATAGGTCGCTCATCTTAGCAACAGCCTTCTCCTCAGGAAATTCGTCGAGACGCTTCAAAGCGCCTTCTGTTTTGCCTTCCTCTTTGAGATTGCCGATGGGGATGGCAAATTCGCCCAGGCCGAGATCTTTCTTCACTTCGTTGCACTCCGCTTCAGGTTCCAGCGCCCGAGTTATGAAGATCCGGCCCTTTTTTACGCGAGAGAGAAGGCATGGAGACAGCCTTGGTAGCATTCTCCGAAAAATTGACGATGATGGCGAGGATTTCTAGCGAATCGACCACTTCCTCGGAGAACTTCTCGCGTTCGAGGGGTATATTTTGATATAAATCCCCTAGCTTCTTAAGCCACGGGATGGCCTTAGCTGCTGTGGTTTCGGGTTGGCAAAGGGTCAAGAGAATGTGAAGCTGGGGATCACTCTTATGAACTCCTAGAGCTTGCCCTTAAGCTTAAGAGTGTGATTTCCGGCGGGGTCGAGGCCATTCAATAACCCCTTCAATAGCTTGGATCCCTTAGAGATTCAGTCTCAGAAGGGATTGGGCGCGGGTGTATTCATATTTGTAAACATTGAAGAGGTCTTGGAAAACGATGGATTAAGAAAATTTATCGTCCTTATGCGAACCATCCCCGATGCCTGCGTCATCGAGTCTATCGACCATGTCGTGGATCCACGTCCAAACAATGACATTCTTGACCGCGTTGTGAGACGCGTCCAGAACTGCGCCGCTGCTGTGCCAATCAGCCTGTTATTGAGAAATTCCAAGGATAAGGGCAGTGGAAATTGTATGTTGACCCTGTGTTCGCGATCGCGTAGTTGTATCCGGGAAACGTCACCACTTCGCCAACATCCTTGAAGAATCGAACTTGGCTAAGTGAGAAAGACCCCGCTCCAAAATATTTCTTTCCCCAACTCTCCAGAGATAGACTGGGGTTCGATGACGGAGTGTGGTGGTATATATTATCATGGTGTCATTTCCTAAAATTTCATTGGTGAACAGCTTCTAATTATCATCCAGTGGAAACAAGTTGTGCGTTTCCGCCAGCCGAATCTTCGCTAGCGGCGCAAAACTGTTAAGGCAGCCTTGCCAGTCTTTTTGTACAAGTCAGGGACAGTAAATACGTCTGTCATGGCTTTGGTAGAGCGTCTATTTTGGTCAATGGAATAAAAAGAATTTGAGGGACTTCCCCGTAGGTTCAAAAGTCAGCCTCGTGTTGTGGCTCAGTACTTGGACTAAAGATCCATCATTTACCCTGTTGTATAGAGAGAAGGATGACAATAAGTGGCTGTACCCCCCCACCCCCCCCCCCAATAAGGCCACCATACTTCATATCGCGAATATAGAATGAAACTCGTAGAACCGCTACAGTCCCTGTGATAAGTGTGATTACTACGTGGAACCTCAGATGATATTGTCTTGTTTGTATCTAATCTCACTCATACTTGTTCCATGTGACCTTTCTTTAGGACAATTGCTCCATTTGGATCGGTGCTTTGCCATCATTGTGTGATTCGGAACTCTACAACATCCTCGTCGAGCTCACCATAGAGAATTTTCCTATCCCAAACCCACTGAAATAGACGAGACCCACATGGACTCCTGCTTTCAAACGGGTTGAGCTTAACTATATCAATCTTCCAAGGAGTCTCATCATAAAGAATATCAAAGAACATTCCCTGGTCTTGCATCAGACCGTCCCCAGGATCTGTTTGTTCCAAATTTGCCATGATGGAATCTCTGATGATCTGAGATCCTTTGCAAATCATCTCAATATGCTGACCTTGTTCGAGGCCAGAGCTTTTGGAAAACTTTCATGGTTGATGCTAGCGATACTGACTAATTGCAGTAACCCTGCAGTCCTTGGGTCGGCAGGAAACTCGATACTCGCGCTCGGCTGCCATTCGTCTATCGAATGGCAAGAAGAAAAGCCCAACCGGCCTCTGGCCTTTTACGCATACCTCGAGGGCAACTTGAAAACGGCTGGAGGTTACAATGCGAAGGAGAATATCGTCGATGGTGTGTAAGGATGTTCTGCCTGGGATGGTTTGGCCTCCATCTTGGGCGAACAGTCATCGAGGCGGACAAATAAGCCTTCAGGCGGGAAACGGAGATGAGCGAAAGCAGGAGGAACCTCATCGGCCAAATCTTCGCGAGTATGAGGTTGACATGGCCGATCTCAATTGAAACATTGCACGAGGTGCTTGGAGTAACAGTTGTGTTTGTGAATCGGTGAGCGAGATTCGCTGTACTGCGGAAGGCGGCAGGTTGCGCGATTGGAGGATAAGTGCTAACCATCTTTTATATGAGTAAGGCGAGTTGGATGTTTTTCGCAGATCAGGGGCGTCTGTATCGGAATGGAATGACGTGTTGAACTGTGTTGGGTGTTTTGTATCAATGTCGGCCTGGACTTGCGCGTAGTCGACGACTTTCTTAACCCACTTCATCACGACGGATTTGTTGGGGAGCAGTGTTTGGACGGAAGTTGCGTATTGAGTATCGCTATTGAGGCGCATTTGCGATCTTCCAAGATCAATCTAAGATTGATCTACTGCCCTGGAGGAATTGTCGAAAACAGCCGCAGAAGAGTTGTGTCAGGTCGGGGAAAAGAAGGATTTGAACCGGAATGAAGTGATGTGACACTATCAATTCAATATCTTATCTTTTCCGCAAAGATGTGGGAGATAAGATTTCTATCCAATGCGATTGGAGCAAACCCTGATGGCGTACTCCCTCAAATGGGCGCTCGAATGCCATCGGAAATATTATGGCGCGCAAATCACGAAGAGAATTTAGGGCCTCGGACAAGTCCTCAGAATTATACCGCAAGCTTTGGTGTCCATAGACCTTGGCATTGAAGACTGGGCCTACCTATTAAATAAAATAGAGATGGAGACGCCATTCTCTGGCGAAAGAGCTTTTTTTTCCGGAGATTTCTGATGATCTGCTGAACACGGGCGATAGGCAGCCTGGAGACCAGTTTTCATGTGTTCAGTACATTATGAGGGCAGAGTGTTTTCGGATCGCTATGCTGTCCTCTTTCGCTTTTGGTTGTGAGCATTGTAGAAGAACGATACGGAAACGGCGTAAGCCAATGATTTTCACTTCAGACAGATGATGTCGCCTTTTCTATTACCTCTCACCGCATCTTCAATGCCAAGGGGCGGATGACCTCAGTTTGATAGCTTATGTGATGAGGAGACCAAGCCGTACTCGAAGCGGCCCTTAGTGAACCTCCGACTGAGGACAGACTTGGGAGAAGAAAACCTGAAGCAAGGCTCTACTCCTGAGTCGCGCCAGGAGCTCTTCAGTTCAGCCCCTGGCATTCGAATGGAATGCCGTTCAAAGTTCGAGGATGCAATTTATATCGAACTGCGTGGTGCCGCAGCCGTTTACACACAAACTAACTAGAGTCTGTGCCGACGGTAATACCGGATTGGACGGAACTTCTATAAATGTGTTCCTCCAATTTCTCGACTTACTGATCCAGAGAACTTGTATGTTATTCACATCTCGAAGTCGCATTGCACACATTCTCAACAAAGACTCGACAGCGTCATACCCTCCCAAAACCTTAGTCTAAGATGCAGTTGTCTACCATACTCTCGGTGATCCTTCCTATGGCTCTTTTTGGCCAGGCAGCTGCCCAGAAGTCTTACTGCAGAGCCTTTGCCAACAACAACGTAAGCTTATGGTTATTCTGGACACTGGTTCTAACTCTCTAACGTTTTCGACAGCTCTCAAATGCTGCGTGCAGAGGCATCGAGGGAGTTTGCACGACGGCTTGCCCGCGTGAGGTAAGTGACTTGCCCGCATGTAAAAATGCACCGCAAAGTTGTCGTGTAACACGTGCTGACATGAAGGACAGTGCGGAGCCGGTTTTGTGCTTCAGAGCGTGAAGGAGGCCGAAGGCAAGTGTGGCTGCTTCTGCAAGAAATAGACGAGCAGGGTACATAAGACAGATTTGATTATCATCAATTGGTACGATACAAATACCTAGTACAAGCATAGCGAAAAACCATTAGTGGAATTCCTCCTCCGAAGGCTATCGCAATCTCAACTCGTAACGCCGTGCCATAATATCTCATAGAGAAGCGCCAACATCAACCAAAACTTTGACTTGGTTGTCCTTATCCGTAATTAATGCCTTGATACCATGCTCTACAAGATCGTCCAAAGGAATCTTTCTGGTGATCATGGAGGCAGGCTTCAGGGCTCCTAAATGCCACCCTGTTAGTAGCGGTTCGCGTGATCGGAATGAACGAGATTCCTTACCTGTTCTCAAGTTCTCAATCACGGCTTGATAATCTTTCTTCTGGTATCCAAGTACGGACTTATACGAGCTTTCTCTCCACGTTACCCAATTCGGGTTGAAAGGGACTTCCTTCTCCCAGATTGCAACATTGATGACCGTGCCGCGTGTCTTGACAGCCATGCATGCAGCTTTCACACTATTTCAAGTGTTAGCAAGGGAAGTAAGAGGAAAACCGACAGACTACACACCTGGCCGGTACCCCTGCGCAGTCGAGTGTGACGTCAGCGCCAATGCCACCAGTGATCTTCATCACCTCCTCCATAACATCTTGGCTCTTGGGATCAATGATATGCGCTGCTCCAAACTCCTTCGCGAATTTTTGCCGGGCCGTGGCAATCTCTGCAACCATGATATTCGTTACTCCCTTTGTCTTCAAACACAGGACAGCAGCGAGCCCGATCGGACCGCCTCCCATCACCAAAACGTTGGACTCGGAGGTGACGGAAGTGGCAGAGACGGCATGCCAAGCCACCGAAAGCGGCTCCACCAAGGCACCCAGCTCGAGAGGGATGCCCTCGGGCAAAGGGAAGACCTGATCCGCGGGCACCGATACCGCCTCGCTCAGGCCGCCACCCCAGCCGCTGAGTCCGATGAAGCCGCCGGTGTGGCAAGCATTCTCGGCACCGGCCTTGCAGGCAGCACACTTACCGCAGTAAATCGTGGGCTGCACGGCGCAAGGAAGGCCGATTTTGAGATGCTCCTGCTTGACATCTGAGCCTATCTCTTTGATGATGCCGGAGAACTCATGGCCAAGGGTCACGGGGATCTGATCGCCTGTGACGGGATGCCTAGAAGAGGGGCAGAAGTTGGGGCCGCCTAGGTATTCGTGGAGGTCAGTCCCGCAGATACCGACGAATGCCGGGGCAATCTGGGGAAAGGCGAAGTGCGTGTCAGTGTCAAGTCTGAACTCCAAAAGCAATACTACAGTCCCTACATCTTCCCCGCGCGGGGTAGGTGCCGGGCGGACCATGTACTTAGGAGCAAACACTGGGGAAATCTCACCTTGATCTGATTAGGGCCACATGGTGGCTCTGGAACCTGTTCGATCCTGATATCTTCCTTTCCGTAATATCTTGCAGCTCTCATGGCGATAGGTGTAAGACTTGCTGTTGAGGGTAATTTGAAAAGGAGTTTGACTTCTGGTAATCAAAGGGATGGCCCGGATGGGTGGGAGCATGAAGCGGAAGCTTGAAGATGGGGAGTCGCACTTATGTAGTTGAAGGCTGGACGAACGGAAGGCCGGTAAGTGACGACGTACTGTGCTTTCTCCTCTCGTGGCGTTACTTTGTCGTCCCAAAGTTCCTGGTCCCGAAAGTGTGTCGGTATCACTGCGGAAATAATGTCAGTCGGGTCATCGTATGATCACCAACTGCATTGAGCGCTTCCCACTGCCCCGCACCGTCAGACCACGTGCTTAGCGGCTGCCATCAGGGATCCTTTCTTGTCTGAGGTCTTGCTGGGAGGCTGGGCGCGTTGTGAGGAATACGATATCCGACTGATGCGTACTTTAGGGATGCGTGTCGATATATAATCATGGCTGGCATAAGTTTCCTTACTTGATTCACCTTACCACTCAATGTGGAGCAGGATCCTTGCCAACCATGCCGGCCTCAAAGCGACCCTTAAGGTGCAACAACTTGGGTAGATTTGAACTCAATCTCTGCACGGGGCCTTTAATGATTTCAGGACTTCACTTCATATCTCTACGTTTAAGGCGGACTCCTGTCTCCCCTACGGAACTGATGAGTCTGGAATTGAAACTACAAGTGGGTGCGAGGAGAAACGACTTCATGCCGACCGACGATTGGCGAACAACAGCCATGACTATGTCGAAGGTCCAGGCTTAAGATCCGGTGTTGCACTGAGGTTTATTATACTAAAATTTCGTTATGAATGTGGCGGCCCTCGATATCAAATTCGCAGGAACGTTATTATATCGCAGCTGTGCTCGAAATCATGGGTATCTTTACGCCACTCCTGGCCTAACCACTAACGTCGCTGAAGAAGCAAGTACTTCAGGTACTTTAGGTATACAGCCTGCCCTATGGTACCAACACCTAGACTCACGTGCTACTCAGCGCCCAAGTGTTTCCAAATTTATTCCTGCTAAGGGCGATTTTGGAAATCTCCTTGACTGCATGCATGCAAAAATCAGTATGTGAGTGTGCTAAAATCTCAAGCGATGGCCGATGCTGCGGATCAGAACACTTACAGTCTTTCCAGGTCATGGGTTCCCTGGTTTCATCAGCTGACTGTCTCCAGAGCCTCGCCATCCAGCTTGTCACCAACAGGTCCAACTCTTTGTGGTCCATGGGCAGTATAACATCCAATTGAGGCATGCCCAACAGTTTCTTCTCCTTGTCTCGCTTTGCGACTGACTCAATAGCGACAACTTCTCCCTTCGTGTTCTTCCAGTGAATCTCATGTTGGTGCTTCATCTGGTGCACCGCGCTGTCCCCAACTTTGAAGTGATCTTTTACCTTCCACCCAGAGACGCCGGGCAATAGGTAGACTTCCCTATACGTTTTCTTGGAGCTCATTTGACCTTTAATAACCGTGACATCGTTTAGTTGCATACTGCAGCTTTCGAGTCCCTTGAGCGGGTCCTGTGTGAAGTCGTAGATGTGGTCCAATCTCGTTCTCACTTTGTCGCTACCAGCTTCTGAAGAAACTCTGTAAACCACTTTCTGAACCCCATACACCAATGACTTTGCGTCGGTCACGATATTGCTCAGCTCATAGAGCGCGCGAGGTGGTGAGGTATGGGCGAAGATTGTCGTTTTATCCAGGAACAAGGTTGGTGTCTCTCCACAGCTGAGCTGTGTCCTTGAGTCGTTGACCGTGTTGTCATACGTTGGCGGTTCCACGTCAACATCAAGCATGGTGGGTTTTGTTGTCATCTTGGGCGATAGGTATGAGTTGCGAATGCTGACTGGGTCGTTTTGGTTTTCGCTAGTTACAGTGCAGTCAGTGACGGAGAGACGAAGTTGGAGGTAAATATGTCTTGTGCAGCCAAAGACTCCGTGTTGGGCGCGCCTCGGCGTGGGGTGTATCACCCCCAAATAAGGCACTCATCCGCGCCTCATTTCTCGCCGCTGCGAGCGATTGTAACGCGTTGGCCAATCCAACCAACAATCACAAGTGGCTGAGCAGAGCTCAGAATGAGACCACACCCAGCTCAGGTTTTCTCACACGCTGCAGCCAAGGAGAAGGGTGCGCCCTGTGATAAGGGGTCTTGTTCTGGAAGCTGACTAGGCACATAGGTTTTGGGCTCTTAAATGGGGCATGATTCACAGGCCTTTCAGGCCATTGGCTGTGTCTTCACGAAGGATGTGCTACCTTGTCTCGGAGAAGCCTGGATGGAGTCTTGGTTAGTAAGGCAAAGCGGCACAGCCACTGCTACAGCGGTGCCGTGTGCTCCGATAAAAGTCTTGGAATAAGCCATTTTCGGCTTCGAGGAGGGATCTCTTACGTCACACGTATTGCATTGTGGTGTAGCTGAATATTTCCTGTTCTCAGAAGGCGATGTTTCCCTTCGCTGAGAGATCCCTGTGCAGATCACAACCGTAAAGCCGCTGGAAGAGGCTTGTGATCTTTACCGGCGCGGAGAGAGGCTGCCCTGTCGCACAGCGTTGTACAGCTTATGAGCTTCACCAAAGCTATAAAGATGCATGCCCTGCACATAGTCAATCACTCATTTAGTCATAGAAACTTCCTTTACCCAGACTTTCGGAGACCGATTCAGTTGATTGCATGTTGTTGGGCATAAACAGAGTGTACAGGTCTTGTGCTTAGGTGGTCCTCTAAGCGCATTACATGAGAAATCTCTCGGCTCTGGCAACGACTATTGTTCTGACTGATGGAACATAAGGACCAAGCAGGACGTCAAAATATAAGTCACCTGAAGTTCTACTCAAAAGAACCACTTGTGAACATACCATATGGAACGCAAAGTGTGGTAAAATGCTCGCTTACTCGTTCTCAACCTAAGTACGTTACCTCAATCTGTTGGGGGTCTTTCGCTAGCTGTTCCCCCAGAGGGGGAGCATGGGCCATCTATGAAATAAGCGTGACGAAAGACGGCGAGCATACAAACCTACATCCTTCATTGCAGTAAACTCTGGGCTCACCAACTTAGCTTTCCCCAGACGGTTCAACCACAAATATCAAATGCTACGGAAAATGATCATAAAGTCGCCGTTAAGATGGTTCACTCCGAGAGCAAGACGCGTGACGGCCGCGTCAAGTAGACCAAACGCGCTCCAATTCTCAGAGCGTCTGAGCACCGCCTCGCCACACACCGCAACTTTGAACACGAACTCTCGCCAAGATACAGCACAAACGACATCGCCCGCCGATGCTTTTTCACAATCAAAGAAGAGGAAGAAGACAATAGCAGAGCAGGACGAGGAGCTACGATTGAAGCTCGAGGGCATCTCAGGAGATGGTGGCGCCTCTGGGGTTGAGTACGAAGGCGGAAAGGCCGAAGGGTTAAAAAGAGGTGTCAAAGAAAACATGTTCAGGGTCATATGATCTCACCAGACACTTCCATGGCAGACCGTAAGATGTCAGAAAGTCATGGACTCTTCACGCGTCGGAAGAGGAGCTGGCTTCTGGAGTCTATTAGCTTCACCTTGGTACCTAGCTTCAACTTACCAGCGTGCCGTCCACGCCGGCAGCCGACAACGTGAAGCTGTCAGGGTTTCCATTTTAATCGAGCAGTGTCAAGCCTGCCTCTTTGTCTCAATTTACTTCGTTCACGGACAATCGGAGCAGACTACAATGGAATAGATACCAATGCAGGGAAACAACACCTATGGTACTAAGAAGATGTCAGATTGTCACATTCTCATATCATGCATAAGTACCTTAGTGTAGGGATTCAAACTCCTCGTCACAGATGGTTATATAGGCATGTTGTATGTCTAAATGCCTGTTGAGTGCTCAAATGTGTCACATTCGATGCTGACGCGCGAGAATGGCACAAGATCGCCATATTGTATATCTTCACAAAGATCCTGAACCCTTCACCTGTCCATCTCAAAACTTAAATGTAGATGATCTATACTCGACGTGAAGTCGTTCCAGAGATGTGGAGAGGGTAGAGGGTGCGCCTTCTAAATATCGCCGGGAACAAACAGTTGCCCTTGAAAGATGTATCTCGCAGTCCGGACAAAGCCTAAAACGCCGAAAGCCGGCAGCTTTCCCCCCTTTCCCACAGCTCTAGTTTCGACAGACATTGGGAGGTGGCCCGCAGGATGTTGGATTTTGAGAGTGCTACAGGCTAATGTGGCAGGGTTCAACAGACGATTGACAACTGAACCTTCGATTCGACTGGTAGCAGTCGTACAAACCCCTCATGTTCCGGCCATACTTGGGTGGCAATGATTATCGAGGAACAGGCGCGCTTGGATATGTCCCTCTTCTGAGGTTGGCTTCGAGACCAAGGCAACCATTGGAAGCATCGGGGACTGTTCATCAACTCGGTTCCAGTCTTTGCATCTGCCAAGCTTCTCAGATATCCGCCCTCTGACTTCTCGGACGCGAGCAATCAGCTCAGAATGGCTGTCGATGGAGCTCACCGTCTCGTTGCCTTGAATGCCGAGGTCTTGCGCGGCGACGAACGCAATAGCATTGCCGACTTCGCAGTATGTAGCTTCGACTGTGCCAAATGTGCACTTGAGAGTGTCTGTCGGGTTGCCAGTGGGCAGCATTCGTGCAGGCGTTGCTGTCTGCCACTCGATTTAGCATCGCAACCTTCTTGTGGAATCTGGCTCTACAACCAAACTTACCTGGGAATAATCCATCAAAATAGGAGCGCCAGTGCCGGGGCATCCGGATATAGAATAGTCACCCTTCTCTAATGCTCGCCCATTTGAAGCATCAATCGGAACATGGGCAATCAAAATTGCGTCTGTTCCTGTGTTGTAGATTTTGACCACTCTCTTACGACCCTGTCAATTGCCTGTCTTCAACAGTCCCTCATTGATTGCGAAAGGACCAACACCAGCTGAAATATTCCCACAATTAGCATCATATGAGACTGTTGCTTCATCGAGACCGACTTGAGCAAATGTGTAATCAACGTCTGCATCAGGTCTTTCCGGAGGCTGGACAATGGCAACTTTGGAGGTTACGATGCGTCCGCCCCCCATTCCGTCTATTTGGCCTGGATCAGGCGATCCCATAACACGTATGAGAAACCTATCTCTGGCTGTACCTGATTTGGGAAGGTCCTTGGCGTGGAAAAAGAGTGCTTTGCTAGTGCCGCCTCGGATGAACGCGGCGACCACTCTGGGAGTTTTCAGGAGTGTTGCAGCAGTCATAGTTTGCGTTGTAGCTCAGCTCAACAATGATCAAACTTCAGCATGATGGTCATCAAGAGTGTTTTCTGAGGATTGCTGAGGCGTGGTGTGAGAAGCAAGGTGTTGTCAGGTTTCTGAGGCTTATGTGCCTGGAGCAGTGGCCTGCACACAGGATGGATCATTGCGCGCCTAGGTACTTAGTGAGACAGCAGCACCGGAAGATGCCATAATTTGCATCAGCCGCTGACGACAGAGGCGTCTTCTACCAAATATCTTAAGTACCTTGAAAACGGTAACGGCGCTGGGATGATGGCAACTTATGTGAACCCTGCACCTACTTCAATATGCTATCAGTCCAGGAAAGTATTGACTCACGCATAAATATCTTATCAAAGTCCGAAGAAGTATTGCAAGTTCGTGAGATCTCTATCTTGTTGGCATTACTGCCTTCAGTAAGAGACGATAAATTTCACAGGAACGTAATCCGGGTGACAAGTATGGTAGTCAGAGCAAACATTTGAGGTAAATTGCGAAAGGTCCAGGACAGCCTGGCTCAGTTATATCACTGGAGTGTGTGTTAACCTATAGTAGATAACGACACATTGGCCTTCTCAACATGACACTCCACTGGTTCTGGACCTACCCCGAGAAGCTCAACCAAGGAAAGTCATAGGCCTTGATGGTGAACAATTTTTTTCAACTCCTACTGACATTAAAACCCGAAGGTAATTGATAAGTGGCATGGCTTCGTTGTGTAAAGCTGTTAAAGCCCGAAAGATTCAATCCGATAGGTAGGTTATTCGTACAATTACGGGGTTTCAGCAACACGTGAACCGAGCCGAGGTCAAGGGGCAGTTCAGATGGAAGTCAAACCTGGGGGATCTCCGCACAAGCCTCGACGGTGCTGGCGGTTAATAATAAGCTCAACGCCATCAAGGTCGTACTGTCCGGCTTGCTTTCCTTCCTCTACTCGACTCCAAAGCCCAGAAGACGGTGCAAAAGTAGCATGATGGAGTCTGGATCTGGATCGCTGCGTCAAAGGTCTGCGGCGCGGATCGCCGCACTAAGAGGCCAATTAGTGACGGGAACGGTACCGAGTAGAAATGACACCCAAACACCAAATTCAACGACAACGAGCCAAAGTCAGAATCCCGACAAAGATGGCTACCCAGCGAAAATTCCCCTCACGTACTATCCGCTCGAAACACAAAAAGCTTTCACCTATAACGAGAACCGGATGAAGAGCAAGCTGTATGCGAAATACTGCAACAAAGATCTCTACCTCTATGCCGACATTCCACAGTATATTCGCGAGCCAATGCCAGTAGAGGGCATTCTCCCAATCACAGAATCGCGCCGCCTCCTGGAACCCGGCTACCACGCTCACGAGAATGGATGGCGTTCCCTCCCCGACGGGACAGCGTACGTCACGTCACGGACTCGTTTCCCTGGATCGACAGGAGACATGGTCCGCTGGTGGTTTTGGTGGCACAGCATCGAGCCCGAGCGCTATGCCCTGTGGTTTCCGTACGACCACTTGGCTGCGCGGTCGACTTACGCGGACCGGCTGCATCGCACTGACCTTTCTCACACGCAAAAGTGGCTCGGCTCCACGCACCGTGTAACGGAGTTCATCGGTGCAACCAAGATGACCGTGAATATCCACTTTGTCGACCCGGCTCAGTACGGCCTGCCGTGGGAAGAGCTCAAAGCGGCAGGATACGAGGCCGCGGTTTGTGCGGAATTGCGAGATGGCCTGGTTTCAAACCTCAAAATTGGGGATTTCCTGCACCTCTGGCGAAAGACTGAGGATGGCCTCGAACTGCGAAGTCGATATTGGCTTGGTGGGGGTATTCACTACAAGGTTATGGGCATGAAGGTTGGGATCGATTACCTTGCTGGCGCGCTGGGTTTCAAGCATCGCATGGCCGGAGACAACATTGCCTATGAGCATTTCATCCATGATCAGACCGAGTTTACTAATTTGGCGTCTTTCCTGCCGAATTTGTACGCAGATTATATGAGCGGGAAACTTTAAGCAGGAGAGACCTAGTAATCCTGCCTGTGAATTAAGATTTATCCTTCTATTTTCCAGAATGATATCTGAGGTCGAATTGAAGAGACGGTGTTCCTTGGTGCCGGGGCTTATAAGCCACTGCAGTTATAACCCGAGTGATCTACCTGGTTAAGTCTGTTTGATTATTGTGGTTCGAATAATCAGAGAAACCAACCTGCAAATAAGTCCAAGTCCTTAGGCTTTCGATTCGTGGCAAGCTTTTGGAATCTCATGGGCTATAATGCGGGATGTAAAAATAAGATAAAAGAGCGACTGTAGGAGCGATGCACGGGTTCTAGACCAATTTCCGATTTTTGAGTAAATAATGAAATTTTTGTTGGGGACGGTAGAGTTGATCCGTCTGTTCTTAGGCGAGGTAGATACCATGGCGTATTGGTGTGTCAAGCTTAACGTAAACCGAACTCACAATATTAGATAAACCTCGAGCGTATTCATATGACGTCCTACATGATTAGGAGCATAGGGCGGTACCATGAAGTGTAGTAGTATCAACGGCTAGGCTTATGATTCTAATGCCGCGCAACGAGCAGCGTAGCAAAGATTTAAAGTCACTGCGCAGTGCAGTCGTATGTCGCTTACGCGCGTTCATCTTTCGGGTCCTCTTTGTCGAGGCTTCTTGCTCCGATGTCTTTCCAAAACAAGAAATGCGTCTCCGGGTTTTTATAGTAGCAAAATCATATGGGTGGTCATCTGGGTGACGAATCTGGGTGATGTTGCTAAAGTTTCAGATACTGGCTCCATCAGATCAACATTCTCAAGTACTCAGTGTAATCTCTCACTGCAGTCGATCTATGTGGGAACTTTTCAGGCTGTTGTAAATCGTGGGCTTATGGATGTTTCCCTGTGCTCGAAACATTGCTAAAGAAAAGCGAACGATGCTGAACATTAAAGTAGTTTTACGTGGTCGTGTGGTCGGATCATCTACCCCTGATGACGATGTCGATCGTGGACCTTCACATCTTGATCGAGGAGGTATGAGCTATATAAACTGCTCGTGAGGTTACATTCAACCCTTCAATTTCAACGAAAATAACTACAACAAACCGACTTGCGCAATACGGGTCTGGCACGTCTCTCAGTCAGTCGTGCATAACAGCCATCCTGGCCCCGTCCCCCCACATTCCGGGCCGTCGCGAATATCATAAATTCCCGCTGTCGTCTGCGTCTGTTGGCCCCCTATACCACACGTTCAGCCAATCGGGTCGCTGTGAAACCAAGCATCGTCACCAGGAGCTAGGATTCGGGACCCCAGAAGATCGTCAGGGCCTCCCCACCAGCCATGGAATAAACGCGTACGCACATTGAAAACAAAAGAGTAGGGATACTGTTAATCTATTTGACTTTCTTGATCGGTGAAGAGGGCAATCTGCCAAGCGACTGTATAAGACACGCATGTAGTCCAACGCAGGTAGCTGTCGACGGCAGCAAGATCTATCGTTTCTATGTACCCAACCTTCTCTTCGTCTACCATGTTTCCCACCCTCCTGCAGTCGGTGCTTCTGGCATCGGGTTTTGTGTCAACTACGAACGCTCTGAACCATCAATTGATAGTCGGAACATTCGGTACACCATTCCTGTACACCTTGGAATTCGAAGATGCTGCCCGCACGCTCACTCTAGCTGCGAACACGTCCGTTAACGTGAGCAGCTCATGGATTTCTTTGAGCGTAAGTATCACAGACCCTTTTATATCAGCTAGTGACTCACGCAAGGAATCAGCATGACAAGAAGGTGATTTATGGAAATGCTTTCGAAGATACAGGCAGTAGCGTCTACGTCAGCTATCCCCTTACCGATGATCTGCAGATCTCTCCCGGTAATACGGTGACATCCCAAGGATCGTGCAAGCAACTCTCGATTTTCGTCAGGCCATCGCCCGTCTCCCCATATGCAGTCTATGGTCAACCATTTGGTGCTTGTGGAACTGTCATGTCCGTAGACTCCGATGGTCTTCTCGTTGAGTCGATCCAGGAATACAACTACTCCTCTTCCTCTGGAGTTCATGGTACTGCTTTCGACCCAACCGGAGCATTCATGTACTCACTCGACGACACGGGGAACGCCATTTGGGTACATTCTGTCGACAACTCCACTGGAGAGTTGACCTATGTGGCCAATGTTACTGCTCCTGTTGAAGGCGCCGATCCTCGGCATGGTACTGTTCACCCCACGGGCAACTATCTATACGCCGTTCATGAGGGAACGAATGAGGTCGGGGTTTACAAAATCGACACCAGCACGGGCATCCCAACATATGCTGATACCTCATACCCACTGATTCCTGATAGTGAGTCTGACTGCAGCTTCCTGTAACCTTTAGAGCCTCTATGTTACTAAGACTCCACTTACCAAGGCGCAAATGATACCGAGTACTGGTCGGACGAGGTTGCTCTTTCGTACAGCGCAAAATATCTCTGGGCTACCTCGCGAGCACGCAACACCAACAGCACCGGGTACATTTCAATCCTGGCTCTCAACGACGACGGATCTGTGAACAAGCAAAACTTCCTGACTCCAACAACCTCCAGCGGCGGAAGCGCAAACGCTGTTACGCCAAGCGACTTTGGAGATCAATTCGTCGCTATCACTGACAGCTCAGCCGGTTTCGTTGAGATTTGGGAAATGGGCGACGATGGTGCCTCTGCCGATGTTGTGGCTCACTTGGACCTCAACGACGGAGGTTGCTGCGCGAACGCCGTTTGGCTCCCTTGAAGGACTGGTATATGAGCAACACTTATTATGAGGGACTTTATCATCTTGCAGGTTCTACACGTATTTTCTAGTCCATTCTGCATAGATACTTACTACATGTACGAGCTTGCTTAGCCTTGCCAATCGCGATGTCACAGACTGTCGATTTACCACGGCAAATGAGTTCTATCGTAATTCTGAAAGGTTCCTCTCACATACCTCGACGCGATATCGACTCTCTGCGCAAAGCTGGAAACGCTCTCTTCCACTGTTGTAGCTCCGAGATCTTCAAGCTTCGGATCCGTCCCCTCGATCACGGATTTCATCATACATATCTGTGGCGATGGTGCCGGGATGTAAGACAAAGCTAGTGAGACACGTCTCCTCGAAGTGCAATCTCTGAATGAACCAGTTCAGCGCAGATTTTCTGGCCCCGTAAGGGCTAACGCAGGCTGAAAGCTTTCCAAAGACTCCATGCCGGAAACGGTACCAAGCATCGAGGCAACGGCGACGAAAACCGGACGACCAGTCTTGCTAGCTTTGAGTACCGGAGCAGCTGCCTGGAACAACAAAAGAGGTCCGATCGTGTTGATTGCAAGGCGATGTCCGATTAGCACTGTTGGAAATAGTCTCATCAAGAGACTACCGACGAGCCCGGAGCCAATGCCGGTACGAGCACCGGTGACTAAGATCGTGGCAAGGCTCATATTGGATGGAGATCTGATGTTGGAAGAAATGACGGATCGGTGTGATGTTAGTGTACCATGTGAATGATCGTGGTGCTCATTTGCATCCATTTGAGACAGATGCCGGTTATACAGCTTGGCTGATATCAGGCGTCAAATCCACAGCCACAAGAGAGTGTTTTCAAGAAGTGGTGTTATCGTATAGGTTTCTGAGGCTGCTGGCTTTGCCTTTTCGGATCTCAGCAGTGAAGCCATGCCACCACGTTATGTACATGTAGGTACTCAGAAAGGACTGTCAAATTCAAGCCTTGCAGTAGAGACTCCGCAGACAGGAGAACCAGGAGAGTACGGTCAAGTCATTAATACCATTCACACTTGTCTACACCAAGTAAGTTGCCTACTCTCCCTTTACCCAGCCCTCTTTCTCATTCTGCTCCTTACTACGCCGACTCCATTCTGGGGCTACATCGATGCTATCCTCTTCTTCCTTGTCGCCCTGTTCCTTGGTTTTGTGAACTGTTATCGGCTTGTGCTCAGCTGGAGAGTAAACCGTATACAAGATCAATGGGGTCGGTCCCTTGTTCAAGAACTGATGCTTGGTTCCTGCCGGCACAATCACCATATCGCCGGCCTTGACTTCTTGCTCCTTGCCGGCAATCTGCGCGAGACCCTTGCCCGATGTGAAGGTAAGGATTTGATCGACGGTATGAACCTAAGACTTTGTAAGGATACTGCTTCGTGTATTTGGTAAAACTCTACCTCTTCGCCAATATCACCATCAACAGGTACAGTCATCAGGACTAGCTGGGAGTACAAGCCTGTCCAGAGAACACGACGAAACTCTCCAGACTCGGACGGCAAGGCCGTAGTCATATCGGGGAAATACTTCATCTCCTTCTTGGGAGGATCACTCGATGGGGTCGGAAAGGTAGACATTTTGATAGTCGAAAAAGCTTCCTTGACCTGAACTGGTTTTGATGTGAGGGGTCGACTTGACAAACTTGTGCAGAGAGGGCGTACAGCGCGATACAGCTTGGAAGAAAACATATCTGATATTTGTATTTATCGCGTAGAAGGACCAGTATTTCGCTTCCCAATAGAAACCCTCGAATGGGAATGCAGGGCTCTCAGGGATTAATATGATGATGATACTATGATTCTTCGGGGATTGATACGTCATCGATCAATCAGACCCCGTAGCCACCCAAACCCCGTCGGTTCGATGAGCAACTCACAAGGGTGCGTAAGCCACGTGGATCGAACCTTACTCGCTGAAAAAGATTCTGGTCGCACACCTTGAAGTTTGTGAAGATCATGATGTACGGTATCCTCGGTTGTTCGTTAACACCAGCAGGAAGAGGTATGCCAGTTGGGCCCACCTCTCCGGGAAAGCGCCGGGAAACCGGAGGTCGCCGGACAGTCCCCGGACAGTCCCCGGACAGTCGCCGGAGCTAGCTTGCTACTTACACTGCCATGACTGCTTCATGGTGCCTACTACCTTATAATAAGCTCTTGATTCATGTAAAAATTGAATACGTGAGTGAATTTTCAATTGCACAAAAACCCGTGCAAATGTGAAGGCATCTTGTCTTTTTCTTGATCAAGACACGTATTCTGCGTCACTAAGCTTGCTTAACACCATCACGACTAGCTGTATCGAATCGGTGATAGGCAACAACTTGGCTACTACCACATCATTCATCATCTCAATCTTTCCCTTTGAGTCGTTCACTCACCCTTGTAGAGCTACCCAGCTCAATTACAAAAAGCCTCAAGCATCCAATGCATGATTTCATGCTCGTCATGCGGGACTTAGCTCTTCGAGGAGACTAGCGGCCTCCAGTGGTCTAGAACCAGCCCCCGTAGTTCCTTATGGCTTCTCCTGACGCCCACGGTGTACTCGAATGCACCCACATCATGCGCCTCACCCAGCGTCAATTCTTCATCCTGACGGCGCGTCCCAGTCGAGAATCGGTTCAGATCACACCTCGGTTTTATGTTTAACACTCGCTGCTCCCGCGACGCGACTAATCTCGATCATGTTACCCAATCTCAATTGTGCACACTGAATTACATTGGTCGCGTGCCACCATGATGCATAACATGTAATCCTGCAAGTGCGGAGCAAGCGATGAATCGGGCATAGTAGGACATGAAAAGCTGTGCCGATAGCCGCCCACGTAAGCAGGAAGTTGACGGTTGCTGCCTGCTCACGTTGAGTCTAAACCTTTGGTTTCTGATTGCATAAGGACCTGACTTCATCAAGTATCTTGGAGTATACTGATGTCTGGGCGCACCTCGAAGCCCTGAGCCTCACTCACTTACACGCGCTCTATGTCCATAGTTATCGGAACGCCATGGAAACCGCACTAAACACCTACCTGGGTAATTGCCACTGTGGTGCGAATCGATACGAGGTCAAACTTGCAAAGCATCCGTCCCTAGTGATTTGCGACTGCTCGCTGTGTGTAAAAAAGGGACACGTCTGGATTTATGATGCCGATGATAGCTTGAAGATCACAAAGGGGTGCTCTAGCGAAACATTGACAACTTACACCGGGTCGGACACCGAGGCTTTGAGACATGAGGTACGTTCACGTTAATAGAAGCAGCACCTCATATGTCATGTCTTTTGGGATGACTGGCTGATAAGAAGGCGCCAGTTTTGCAATGTCTGCGGTACCGCCCTCTTCGGAACACACACGTCTGGCGTTCAAGCTGGGAAGAAAGGCATCAACTTTCGGGTGCTTGTCTCCGAATTCCAACATGTGTTCATCAAGGGAAGAAGCGTCGTAACCATCGATGCTCCAGATGCATATACGCCGTACCCAGGCGCTCTGAGGTGAGTTCTGCAAACTGAAAACCAGGCTAGACATAGCTGAATCAAAGATAGCCTTGTTGAAAAGGCATCTGCATCTGCGCCGGTCGAGTTCCACGGTGCGCTGCCCGACGTTCCCGGAGATGACCTTACACTCTACACCGGAGGCTGCGACTGCGGTGCCGTTCAAATTGCGCTCAAGAGCAAGCCTCTGTCCGAAGTCCAGATCAAGGAAGATAATTGTAGCATATGTGTTCGCGTATGTGAAAAGTTCAAGATCCGACTCATTGTGTTCAAATTGTGCTAATCTGTAATGGTAACTAGAATGGCTTCATCGGTGTATATCCTCATCAGTCTCAGGTGAGTATCGTCGGTAAAGACCAGGCCCTGGACTATCAGTTCGGCCGCAAATTCAATGGGTCGCCCTTTTGCCGCACATGTGGCGTGCACTGCTTTGGAAACCTGTATGGGCCGCCAAAGGAGCTGGTGGCCAAGCTCCCCGAGGCAAAACAGGAGTTTGTGCGAAAACAGCTCGAGGTTCAGCCATTGAACGTTCGGGTTCTTGAAGGCCTAGAGTGGGACAGTGTTAACATAGAATGGAGCAACGACGGGACGGAAGGCTATGCTGTGTCGGAATGAGGAAATCACTTGTTTCATAATCTTATCAAAGACTTTCTTGCGTATGATAATGACCTCAAGGGGCTCATCTTTGTATTACAATATTATAATTCATGGCTAACATCTTCATTCATATTTGTAGGAGGACGTGCAGCTCCGGATGATGGGCGCAAAGGCTGGCCTAGACCCAGCTATCAACAGATCAGTCAGAGCGGCTCAGTATGCATCAATACCAAAAATCGGAACGAAGGCCAGGCTTCTTGGGAAAGGTGACTGCCTCCGATCTTCATATCCGTCGCACATCCGACAGAGACCATACAAGCTTCCCACAACTCTTGCCAGGTTAACAAGCATTATCGGGGCAGGCCAGACCTCCAGTACCATATCTATCACTGGAGACATTGCCAAGCTGAAGAGCAGCGCCGATAACACCTCCCATACCCTCTCCGGCGATCATACCCGCAGCAATAGCGTAGCAGGCCTAGCAAATAATTAGTATCTGGCTCCAAGTAACAACGTGACACAGACGAGTCAGCACTCACAATTTCGAAGGAAGCGGGCTTCCAGCGGCGCCAAATGAAGGCAATGATGGCACCGACAAAGGCGGCGTTGACGAAAACGGGACCGGGAATGACGAAGGACAGGGCAATGGCACCCCAGTTAGGAAGCCACTGCTGGTACTTCTCGCGGGGTCCAACCAAGTAGTAGTGGCGGAAGATGACCTGGAGAATGGAGAAGATGCCGAGGCAAATGGCGAAGATGCCGGAAGAGCGAGGGATGGGGACGTTGGGGCTGGTGACAACCTCGGCCACAGCAGCCCAGGCACTGACGGAAGGAACCAAGAAGGGGCAGTGCTCGGCCTCGGCGTCCGTGATGCAGGGGTAGGCAGTGGTGAACAGGACGAACAGACCGGGCGCAAGCCAAACGGAGACGAAGGTTCCGATAGCCTGGGCGATGAACTGCTTGTTGGGAGGTGTGCCGAGCAAGAAACCGGTACGGAAATCGGACGTCAGAGCCGTGGCAACGTCAGCAGCGCCGGCGGCGAGACCGGCGGAGATGAGGTTGATCTTCTGGGCGTGCTGGATGGTGTAACCGGCGCCGGTGGTGGTACCACCGATAACAAGCTGAGCGGCCTTGGCAGCAGCAGTAAGAGGTGTCTGATCAGTGACACCACCGATCTGGATGGCGAGGAACGAGAACAGGAAGGCGAGAACCAAGGCGAGGATGGTGACACCAACGTTGACCTGCCATTGCAGTCCCATGACGATGCAAGCCAGGATGATGGACGCGAAGAGACCAACAACCCAGATCCAGGTCTTGACCTGTTGCTCGGGAGTCGCGGGGTCCTCGACAGCATCGGCCTCGCGCTTCTCTTCTGCCTCTGCGTACTTTGCGAAGAATTCGATGCGCTTGCCCTTCTTCATCGCGGTCTCGTGGATGGAGAGGCAGATTGACCTCCAGCCGGCGGCAAAGCCGAAGTAGATGATCTTCCAGTGGACGATAAGCTCACCCATGGAAGAGCAGACCATGATCATGACACCGGGCCACTGCGTATTGTTAGATCATAGTTGGCCTCGTGAAGGAACCAAGTATAGACTCACCAGCAGCCAGTATCGGGGGGATGGCGGGCCTTGACCGATATGCTTCAGGGAGGTGAAGGAGTACAGGCCGGACCAGTTGGGGTCTTCGGAGGCCTGGATACCAATGCATTCGCCGTCTGTTGATGACTGTTAGTATCTGACGAGTGAGGGCATCTAGAGGCTCGGAGGGTCTTACAATGAACCAGGACGGGGCCGATGACTCCCCAGGCAAGGACTGCTCCTCCCATCATTGAGCAGGCAGAGTTCATGCCAATAAGCATGCCGGAGCCAATGAAAGCCGTCGTCCACTCAAAGTACCTGCGATCCGGGGTCAGCCAAACATTACCCCTGGCATTACTATGGGCCTCAATTTTCACTCACCATCCCCACGATTCAATATTCATAGCCGAGCTCGAGTAGCCCGACCAGATGTGAATCCATGACATGACTAAAGGATTGTCAGTCTAACGATGATCTCGTGTACGATAAGAGCGTCAACTCACTGTGCCAGTCGTAGAGGATTCCGATGGCGTAGTACGATGCCACGCGGTGCGCGATACAAACTCCAAAGGCAATTCCCAAGGCCTTGAGCTTGATAGCGGCCTCACGGGCGCCATTGACACCAGCATGCATGGAACGGATAGTCAGGGCCGTCGCGGTCGAGGTCGGGAACATAAGCTTGAGCTCGCGGGCAGTGCGAATGATGAAGAACTTGCGCAACGGCGTGACGAAGAACAGGCCGAAGAAGGAGCAGCAGAGAGTCAGGGTGAAGATCTTGCCAATATCGCCAGCCGGCGTGCTAGGCATGAGATCGAGTCTGTACATGGCAGGGATACCTGCAACGAAGATACCAGCAATACCTCCGGCACCGGTGGCAGCAGCCTAAGTACGTTAGGTTTGGAGGTCCAACCAGCCATTATGAATCCAGGTCATACTCACTTGAACAATGGAGTTTTCTTGAGGTCCAAAGGTTCCACCCAGAAGTGGAATGTTCGTTTGCGAGAGCATCTTCAAAATACCGTATCCGAAAATTGCACCAAACATCGAGGCCACAAATGTGAAACCAGTTTTCTTCAAAGCGATTTGATGTCAGAATGATCCACAGTGGTAGGAATATTGGCAGATTCCAAATCTCAAAGTTCACAATGGTGGTATCTCGAGACATGAAGGGTCGCGGAGAGGACCGCTTCATGCCCGGAAAGAGGATTGCACTTACCAAGCCAAGATACAAGTTGGACGCGTTCACCAAGGATCCCAAAATACAGCCGACAACAATAGCTCGAACGGTCAAGATGTTCTCCTCATGGGGAATATTCTCGTCCATCTTTAGCGGACGGTAGAGATCCTCCTCCTTGTGCTCCTCGGTCTCGGGGACCTTCGTATCGACGATGGGCTCCGTCCATTCGCCGCCCATTGCGCCCTTCTCGTCGGGGTGAACGGTGACGCTGCCGGTGTAGGAGGGGCGGGGCTCGGCGCTGTCGACGCGGGTAGCCGGGGCCACGGCCGAGGCCGGTGCCATCTTTTCTTCGGTCATGGCGGGCTTGTCGGGGACCTTTTGCTCAACAAAGGGCAAATGGGAAGGTCGTGAAACACAAAACGCGGGCTGAGGGAGGGGGAAAGATGGAAAGAGTTTGAGAGGGCTCGCAGTCGTTATATGTCTCGACAAACCTGCCGTCGCATTTGCTCTATGTGACTATCCCTGCCGACATGAATCTACCTGGAGCGATATGCAAAACCTCTCTCACTGGTTGGACTGTTGGAGAGGTTCTCGCGTCGAGCGTACAGTGGCACGAGCTTACAGCAAAAGGACCCCCGGACGAGACAGCTTGATGTGGCCATCCCTGCTCTCCCCATGTACAGGGAGCAGGCCAGATAAGGAAGCGGTACGTTTGTTCAGCGGGGGTCTGCATGTCGCTCCGGCCAGGTCGAAATTCGTCTAGTCCGAGTGAGTAGGCAGGCGACATGCAGACCCGCGGCGCATGGCATTTGGCCACACCAGAAACGGTTGTTTGGGACGACGGTCAAGTCCTGTGGTAGTCGATCCGCGTTGGAGCTGTTGAACCACCAGTCTGCTCTCGGGGCTCGTTTCGCCCGTCTGGCACTTTTGATGTAAGCCGCAACTGTCCATCGATCCTCGATTAGGAAGGTCCTTGACAGTGTTACTCGCGATGCCCCAAACTTTAGGCAACCCATCAACGATCCCAAGGAGGAACAGTTCGGCTGATGGCTGACGCGAGGGCTGTAAGACCATTGGCTGACGAGGTTCATCAACTTTCTAGTAGCGTTCTAGAATACAATATCACCACAATATTGTCAACAGCTTCAATCTGACTGGACAGTCGATCGCCGAGGCTGGCGATAGATAGGCCTATCCGAAAAAGGACCCTCGCGTTGGCCAGATGTTCCCGTCTGATCGGAGGTAACACGACAAAGTGACACAGTCTAATCGTCGAAAATGGCCACTAGACGCCACTAACGGCGACTAAGAACCAAGGGATCATCAAAAGTGCCAAGTCGTTAAGCTTGGCTAAGGGTTCCTCGTGAACTCAGCTACAAGGCGGGCGGGTTACATTCCGCCCCCATCTCGTCTACTGGCCTTTAAATATGCAAAAACATTGGAATTGCAGGCTTGAAGCAAGGGAAGAATGTAGATATCCTTCTTTGCCATAAGAGTCCGAACATTGGCGCCGTCAATTATCACGGGCGAGACAGCCTCGGAGCACACAGAAACCAATCTGCCTCGTCGAGTCGCCGAGTTGTCGAGATTCGCGGAAAGCAGGCCAACAAACTATGTACGGTACCATGCCCGTGGTCTTGGCGACATAAAGCCTCCTGCAGCTTCCGCAACAGGTGATTTAAAGTCTTTCTGCAAAACTGGTCCTGATTGTCGTGCCATTCGTCGGAGGACAACGAGACACGCTACAAAAGGTCCTCCCCGATATTGGATCGCAGGGGTCCCGATTGGCGGATGCCTCACTGGGGCTGCATGCCCTGAGCGGGATGTGTGCCAGTGGAATTGGAGTAACCATAATGCGGATGCTTTGCCTTAGCCCCCTATTCAAATTCAACCTCGCATAGCCTTAACCTTGGTGTGTACGACCATAACTGCATTCAAACCGCGGAAAGCCGCAAGAAGCCGTTGGGATATTCCATCTCTATTGCGTGTATCTGTCCAGAGTCTGGAGACCCTGAGACTCAAGAAAGTGGTGAACCATAATTCAATCTGCAACCAACATCGGACAAAGAACACGACGCGGTTGGGCGAGCCACGTTTCTGTGTGTCAAGTCAAATAAACCCATGTTCAGCACCATGCTAATGCTCTCAGGCCGGTTCTACTCCCCGCAAAATGCTCTCCACAGGGGTCTGCCGTCTCCCGACTTAGCATTTGGGTCTGTGGCAAGGGTGCGTCGTGACAACTGTAACAACATGATGTGCCGCTCAACACCTAAGGGCTCTTCTTCTAGTCACTATAGCCACTGTCACTACTCCGTATACACTTCTAATCGAATATTTGTCCAAGTATATCCTTGACGTGGACTTATGCGCTCAATCCTCCTCACAACATGCCATGCTAATAGCGCTCTTTTCCACCAACAATTCTCGGGAGCGACTTTGCATTATCTGGACGGAAATATCGAAGTCGTGAAAAGGGAAGGAGGATGTATTAGCGGGCATTTGTTGTTACCCACTTCACTTGGCTGGGCTTACCAGTCGCTGGGGATTAAGCGCTTTGGGAAACTGATGCCGTTTCCCATCGATTAACTACTATGGCGCTGCGGAGCCGTCAAGACCGCAATTGATGAATCGATAACGAAAACTCTTCACTGGATCACTGTCGAACGGATACATCGTGGTCGTAAAATAGTACGGTTTCTAGCTTGCAAGCCAATAAGACGTCCGTGTCAATTCTGTCTGTCATCTACACCACAAATACCAACGAATACAACCCGCGATGAGACCGTTCAAGATAAGCCCTTCGAGACAGATGTTGCCTCGCCGAATCGCCGTCCTCGATCATCTCGACAAAAGCAACAGTGTTTTAGGCGGCTATCGTCCTGCCTAGCCAGGCGCATGCAAACGGACGTCTACTCAGAGTAGGAGGGAATGAAGGCCAGTCACAACTGTGACTGTTACTGCTCTACCTTCATTTTGCCTTGCCTGCCGGTTTGCTTGACGAATTGGCAGGTCCTTCGCTGTCAACAGCTCACGCGGCGCATCTCACACCACTCACTCCAACGTCGTTCAAAGTGCCACCCGGGATGGCTTGACCAGCCAGGATGAGGGTGTGAATGCCCAGAAGCTAGCGGGCCATTGCGCACAAAACTGCTGCAGGATTCCGCCGCCCGCCGCTGGCCACCTAACCCACCAGGAACCCAGCTCTCGTCGCTGCGCTCTGCTGACGGTGGCCGGCCTGATGCAGTATGTTACAATGTAGCCATGGAGCAGTCGTGCTCTCCGCCGCACCAAGGCGATGGCCAAGCCATCGCGGTGACTTTGCCAATGCTTCCAAGCCGGGCTCAAAAGCTTTGGTACGTTGGCGTGGCCTTCGCAAAGCTTGACTCCCTCCCCTGATCGCTAGTTTCCGACAGGTCGAAGACATGTAGACTGCGCCCTTGACACATGGCCGAGATGCCAAAGGACTTCTGTTCTCAGTCCAACACCAAAGAAGAAGCTGCAGAGAGCAGCCGAGATCATTCTCCATGCCAGTTTACACACTAGAATGACAGTTCGACTTGACAGCTCGCCGAACCCTTTTTGAGTCTAGTTTCGCTCGATCAACAACACCTGGCGAAACCCCAAGCCTGTAATATCATTCTACACTCTATCGCCGCCCAAAGGAGCGTGGTTTGAGCCGCCGGGGCGGATTCCGCGCGTTACCTGCCGCACCGAATCCTTCCTCGCGGTGCCCGACTTACTCAGACCACAGGCCATTCGCAAATGGGAACTGGCACTGCCATATCTAAAGTTCTGACACCCGCCCGGCCAGCACGAGGCACTGGGCAGAGGTGAGAGGACGGGCAGGAAGGAAATCGCCCCAAATCCAGCCCCCGGACATTGACTCCCAAAACGGCTTCGCGCCGTCCCTTTGAGCAGCCAAATCGTGGCCTCCGCAAACCACCCCTGGTTCCCCCCGCCACCCGTCCACCATCCAACCGTGCTCTCGAACGCGCCTGGAACCTTTGAAATCGGGCCAGGGGATTTTTGCAGAGTGCCAAGGCTCTAAGACGGCGAACATGCGCCCGACCCGACGCCTTTTCGCGAAGCCTGTTTGGGCGAGCTCTTCGGTCCTGCTCGTCAGATCTCGGTAATCATTAACCCTTTGCAGCACTGAGCATCTATGACTCTTTGGCGTGTGCCTCGCTCGCAAGCCTTACAGGTCGGCGCCCGGCGCCACATGTCGGCTTTTGGCCTGTTCATCAGCCTAATTGGAGTCATGACTGCAAGCAAGCAGGAAAGCAAGCACGCAAGTAGCCCATCGTTATTTGACTTCACCAGTTGCCGCGCGATAAGCAAACGCGATCGCCATTGAGCGACTCGGGATATGCTCTTTTGTTTGTCATATTTGCCCGCTCTAGAAGACTGCTGCCACACATGGCGAGAAATGATGTGACCATAGTCAGCTCAGCAAGATCTCACACAACCCAGTGATCGTCCAGGTGGCTTGCAACTTTAGACATTGAGACAACGTCATGTCTTAGGCTACCCGCCAGATGAGAGACATGACGCCACCTTACTTCTGGACAAATTCGGTTTCTAGTACTGATAACGCTCAAAGCCAAATTCCAGAAATTTTGGCAACTGATCATCGGCTCCGGACCCCCAGTAAGAGCAATGCCTGTTGTGCAAACCTCGGTGCTTCTTCTCAAATGGAACTTGACTGACGACCTCACACCACCTGAACTTCTTCAACTGTCGCGTCGCTCGAGATAGACCAACTCCCATCCATCAGACCGTGTACATAAGCATCCCCGATCAGCGAGAACCGATTACCATCCTCTATTGGTCTCATGACGCATGGAACCCTACCACCTGCGAGGACCCAAACTTCGTCACCTACGCGAGCTGACAACTTTGCCAATCCGATATACCCTTCATCAGTCACAAACAGTCGTCTGTTCATAACGATAGGCTTCATCAAAGTATAGTACGCCCTGCCAAGTGGCCCTTGGAGCTGCGATGGATGTACCAGATGCGGGTGTGCCAAAACATAGTGAACGATCTGATGAATCTCATTCAGGGATGGAATGAGCTCGCTATGCGCTTTTTGAAAGTTGGATGAAAGGATAGAACCAAACTCGCGACTCTCATGTCTTTCCAAGCCATGCCCGTCCCTGTTGAGATATGTGGTCAAGTCAGTCGTAAACCACTGCTTGAAGCCTTGTGCGTGTCTCGGATCAGCTCCTGCTTCTGCGGCTGCCCCCGTAGATGTCGTGGGAGTTTCGCCCAAGTCATATATCAAAGTCCGCCACAGAGCTTCAGCGCTATCTGTGGTACCTGCGGGATACTTTTCTGGCAGATGAGGAATGCAGAGAGCAACTTGAAGTGCAAAAGGGCTAAACTTGCCATCGTTAGGCGGGATGAATGCAATCTTGCCGGCCCTCTTCCCCCTGAAAGTAATGCAATCACCGTTGTGACGAGGCAGAGGCTCCGTAGGAAAACCAGCGGAGGCCTTGAACTTTGTTACGGAAGAAAGTAAGTGTCCTTGATCTCCTTTAATGGAAAAGTCTGGCACCCAAGAAGGCATGCCAGCTGTTTTGATAAACCTCCGATCTGTGACGAGCGAAAGCAGGCTCAAACCCCCGCTGTTGCAAATCAAGAATCGGGCGACGTCTGTAAAAACTTCAGCGGCAGACCGTGAAAAGTCAACGTCTGGAAATCCGCTGACTTCTGGAGGGTAAATCATCTTGGCCATGCCAAAGGTTGAGTAGACTCTGTCTACCGTCACAGTACAATCCTTTGACGTGGCAATAAAGAGCAATAATGACCAAGTTTGAACCCACTGCTCCCTACTTTCAGCTCGGAGGCAGCTCGAGAAGGTGCTTCGAAGAGGGAATATTTCGGTCCAGCCTCGAATGAGACGGATACCTCTCAACTCCGGAGCAAGGTTTTTGTTGTCCATCGTCAACTCTGATAAACCGTTACTCCAAGCCTGTACTATTCTCCTCAGATCCCAAGTGTCGGCCCAGGTCAAGACATGGAATTCGTTTCCAACAACGAAGACGGGGTTGCTGGCGACGACAGCCTCCTGCAAGGTCCAGGCTCTGAAGAACCAGGACCTTGTTGCGAAGAACATGAGATATGTAATCCACTGATTCTTCAGTGAGGTTTTCTCAAGCTTTAGCCCAAGATCTTTCAACAGTCGTTCGTCACCCGGGCCGTAGGACTGAAGCCACCGGAAGAACTCCTGATATGAGGACGATTGTTTCTGGCGCTCTCTGATTGCCGGCAACAGCGTTCTGTATATCCAGTACAGCCCCTGGAGGTCTCGGTCCTGTTTCCCTAGCCAGATGTATACCGCAGAAGACTGCGCATAGATCTCGCCCATGAGGGGGATCTGGACGGCCTTTTCTTGGGGGTCTGTCTGGTCTATGCAGATGGCATCGATCCAAACGAGAGGTATGTGTGCACCGCGTTCCTCGGATCGACTCGTCAAGCCTACGAGAAAGTCGGATAGGTTCTCTGTCATCTCGTACTCTGCGAGCCGCGATGGATCGACCCAGCTACAGTCGCTGATAGCATTGTCGTCGCTGACCATGCGAAGATAGTCTCCGGGTTGGACCAAGATGAGTCTTGCTTTGGCGATTGTATTCTCGGGCTTAATACTGTAGGGCCCCCAATGCTCTGTGGATGTGACTGGGTGACCCCATGTGTAGGACAAAGCGGCATACTTCGTGGTCGTCTTTTCGGTATCGCCAAGCGTTACCTGGTGCAGTGTAGCGAAGATCTCGAGGTTCTCTCTGTTGAACTTGAGAATTTGGACAACTCTGATCGAGCGAGACGTTCTCAACGGTTCATATGTGAGCGGCTTCAGGTTCGTAAAGTGACGGGTTGACCTTCGCGGTGATTGTGATCGATGTCGTCCACGAGACGCAGCCTCGGTGCTCGAAACTTGCTTCTTTGGCTTAAAGTATCGCCGGTCCATCTTGCTCTATGCGAAGCTTTTGTTGGCCTTTTGATGCTTGTTTAGGTCTCTTCCAATGTCTTTACCCTCGTTCAAGGATCGCACGGCTTGTATTGACGTCGGTTTGTGGGAAATTGAGGACTCCAGGCAACAGGTTCCGATTGTCGGCAGCGGTCATCCGGCTCCAAAAGTGTTGTCCAATCGTTGAGCTGACGAGAGTGTGACCCTGGTACAGCCAGGCCCCATCACAACAAAGTGGCTTGGTGGCCTCAAGACTTCTTTAATGGATCTTTCTTAAGTTTTCATCCTAAGCTACCTTCCGGAAGGCGACCTGCAAAATCTTGGGAATCGTCCGGTTACTGTTCTGGAAGAGTAGTTTCCAAGATTGACCAATCATAAATATCAAGCCCTGGCTAGAGCATCGTGCAGGACTTCCTTTCGATGGGGCAAAACTGCTGCTACCATGCTCGGCTTTCAAAGTTGACAAGAGTGGCTAGATTCCAATTACTTCACTTGAATCATATTAACAACTTCCAAATCTTGCTTGACGTACCTAAGCATCGAGACCATGAGTGAGTAAGATGCATTGATATTATGTGCGGACTCTACGCACGTGTGATAACTACTGGTGAACCACCAACCTTCAGAGGTGTTGTTCGACGTCATTCTTATTCTCTATGATGCGGATAGGCTTCTTATTGCACCGGTCTACAACGTCTCATGCAGCCTGTTTTCGCCTTCCTCTGTCCCTTCCAAACACCTTGTGCCCCGAAAGACTAAACTGCTCCAGGTTATCCGTCAAAGTATCTACAGAGCCCAGCGTCGTAGTTGACTCATCGGATCCACGGGAAGAAAACGAACCCTCCTTTCCGGGCCGTCTTCTATGGTTTACTGGATGTCCACACCTGCGCCGACTTCTCGACTTCTCCGACTTCTCAGAGCTTTGAGACGCGGTATCTGTAAGCGATCCATCAAAGCTGACACTTCGGCTGAGCGTCCCAGCGCTCGTGTTGGATGATACTCCTGACTCTTGATCCGTGGAAGCGCCGGGCTTTCCATGCCTTCTTCTTCTGTGGAATTTCTCCGCCGCCGCTTCTGCTGCTGCAAGGTGTCTCGGTGGACGCCGGTCTAGCTTCCTTCGGGATGATGATCTCTTTGCCTTTGATTCATCAGAAGGGTCAGCCGCCTCTGTGACCCCTCCTTCCTTTGAACCAATAGCTTTGAGCTGCTCTACGTGCGCCACAGCCTTGTTCTGATCTACGTCCTTGGGTGGGGTCGCAGGCGGAGTATCAAAGTCGATGCCTTCTAGCTCCGGTCGCAGTGTAGTCGCTCGACTCAATGGTATCTGCAAACTCAAGTTCTCCGAAGAAAAGGTGATGAGATCTTCTACTTCGGCTTCCTCCTCCATGACTGGTTCAAGATCTGGTGTCGTAACCGGTGACTCGTCCGCACATTGCTCCACCGAAGGGTTGGTTCGGGTGCTGACAGAGGCATATCTCTGGAGCGCTCGTCGGTATGTCTTAGTGTTGATCAAGTCGTAGTCAAAGTCAAACTCTGTGGTGCTGATGACAGAGTCCCTGTTCCTCGGTACGCCGACCACACTGCCTTCATCCAAGCAATCCGAACTCGCTGGTCGGAAGGTAGGGACCTCTGGGTAGTACGCGGCAGGTTCTCGGACGTCTTGCTTTGCAGCATTCAATGTTGATTGATTTTGCATCAATAATGTCTTTATGTCCTGGGTGGATCGACTGTGGGAAGTTTAGTCGGCGTAAAATGATGTGCGCTGTCTACCCTGATACTTACAGGTTCAATGTCTGAGTCAAGAGCGTTAACGTAGCTTTCTTGCGGTCTAATCGCCCAAGCAGACGTGTCATTTCTCCGTCCTTCCACAAGACTTTGATCTTAGTCTTCCAGTCAGTTCGAAGGAACAGATCCTCGTACTCTTTGCTGATGGACAAAAGCGTAGCATGACATCCGTTGACGGCCACCGTAAAGACAACCTCTAAGCCTAGCCGGTTAATGGCTTCTGGATCCTGGAGAACGACGCTCTCCACTTGTCGGAGCGCTATTTGTACCGCATGTACCTCCTCTGCAATGTCTGCTACGTTTTGTGGTGCATCGTCATAGGCGTCGATAGTCTCTTTAACTTTCCAAGAGGCTTTAAGAACGGCGCCTGCCAGAGACGCTGCAGCAGTGACGATGGTTACAGGATCCATGGTGATGAGTGGAAGAGTGAGGACCCTGATCTACGGCTGATCGTCTAAAATCAGGGTACTGCTTTGGTTTTGTTCTCATCCTGTATCCGAACTTCGTTTCATCGGGCCGTGCATGTTGCGATCGAGATGCATTTTTGAAACACCAGGCGAAGTGGGAATGCCGAGGTTGTTGAACATAAGCTTCATTGCACATGCATCATGCTCTGATCTGCTGCATTTTGCACGTAAAGCCTAGAGATGATTGTGTGATGGCAACTCGGGGACGTTTTGTTGAATCTCATTCAATTATATCTCTATGTCTGTACAGAAGGCTCCTCAAACTCATCTTACCCTAGTCTCTGAAGCTCCAGGATTTTTTTTTTTTTTTTTTTTTTTTTTTTTTTTGACTTTTTGACTTCAAGAGGAACTGATCCTTCATCCTGGGGCCAAGACAGTCCAAAATAAGGTACCTTACAAAAGGCCCAAAAAATTCCAGAGTACGGATACTATTCAGTAATAAACGTTGATTACCTACCTTACCCATGGTGTGAGCCATGGGCCATGAGTTAGGTAGTTGAATCTCACTATTCTGCTGAGTTTAAGAGCAAAGTGAAACCTTTGAGCGCATCCTCAAACGCATCATTTGAGCACTTGCGAAATAGACACCTCACAGCTACTGGAATGTTGCAGGCATACTTGAATTGAAAGGGAGTCGAAGGTGGAGGGAACTTCATCAGGGGTCGAATAAAGTACTTCTCGCCAAGCCAAGATGGCATTTCTCACGAAGCACGGATCTGCCGTTGTGTTTTTTCGCTACTGCCAATCACTTCAACAGTGGATAGAAAGCGGCTGTGTCGCTGTCCTTCATTTCAAGTAATGCGCTGAAATGAGTGCCGAGACCTTCATTCTTCGATTGATAAGATGAGCCTCCGAGATATGAAAGCTACTGCTTCATGATGTCTCTCCCCAACGGCGGTTGTGCATTCAGTGAAATCGTGCTCGTAAGCATCCGTTGGAGCAAGGGGACTTCACTAAGCTAAACCGAATGAAGGGCCTACGAGGGACTTTCAGCTCGGTTTATGGAACCGAGCTGATTGATCCATGATCCCCGCTCTTGCATAAGGTAGCTGAGAGCTGTAGTTCACTGGTTAGGGCGCGTGTGTGAGGTCACCCCGCGGTGGCTCCCAACGGTCCCAGGGCCCTCGAACACGTCTAGACTTCAGACACTATGGTGGGCTGTTCGACGCCGTCTCATAGTTAATGTTCACCTCAAACTACTTCATACACCTCCGCCCAGTTCTCACATCACCCTCGCATCACGAAACATAAGGGGCCAGTGAGCTTTTGGGCCACCTGAACAAGGCAAAGGAGCATGGTGTGCCAGCGCCGCGTGTGCTGGCGGAGCTTCCAAGAGCCCCCAAGAGACCCCAAGACCCCCCTGGCCCGAGTCTCCGGTGGGTGATCTCACAGGTTTGCGGATCAAGCCCAGGCTCGACAGACTCTCAAATCCAATGAATGTTTTGCCCAGGCCGCCCAATAGCCCCCTAGGGCGCATTCCCGTCGTTTCCTTTCGTATTTGTCTTGGCGACGCACAATCCATCCGGCAAAGGGACGAGTCGAGATTGGATGGCAGGATGGGAAGGCCCTTGCACCGCCCCAATGCCCAGGCGAGCTGTGCCTCTTGGTGTCTCTTAGTAGCCACTTGGTGTTGTTCTTCTAGCTTTTACACCGCGTCATTGTCCTTCTTGGAAGCATACCTCTCTGGCCTGGCTGGCCTGGCCCGGTTCCAAGGTTCAATATTCTCCTCTTGTGCACCTTGACCGATGTAAACCCGGAGGCATCTTGTTTCTCTTCCAGTTGGAACTTGGTCCCATGTCGCCAAGGCAGGGCCATGAATCAGCGGGAATCCTAAGAGGATGCTCATGAGGAGTCCACATCTGCGCCAAGATGCGCGAAGGGGGGAACAAAAGTAGTATGAATGCCGCCGACATGCTCTTCCCCGGATTTTCTCCTAGATTAACTTGCTCTAGCTGCTTTCCGCATCTTCCGGTCGTTCGTCTGCGCTTCTCCCTAGATAATTCCACCTTTGCTGATCCCCTTCTTGTTGATTCTCAAGGTTGTTCTCGTCCACATGCAGCAGCCTACTCCCAAAACGTACCAAGTTGAACAATAACAACGTCCAAACCTCGAACACGGCGGTAAAAGATCACTGAGCCCCCGTTAAGCGAATCCTTCAGGAATTGCGCCTTTTCCCCCATTCCCAACCGGACCGGTACTATTATAACACAAGACCTCCCTCGTGTGCATCTATTCGACCCAGCACGCGGGTCATCGGTCTGGAAGTGTCGAAATCTGCGCCCCATCTTCCTCAACGTCACTGGTACCGGGTAGATTCTGGCCATGAACTACTGATCGTACAACTACCGCTTGACCAGTCGTTCGTTCCATTTTTCTACCACAAAAGCCCAGACTAGGGCGTATACCAGCTTAATCACTCGCTCACAATGCTGTCATCTCATATTCCAAGCGCAGTGCCGCTGGCGTTATGGGCATTCTCCAGGGCTGCCGATGCGGCGTACTCAATAGACACTCGAGGTACGAATAAGAAAGGACCTAAACGTACCACAACCCGTGTAACGCCAGAGAGCCTAACAGACACCACTACCCAGATGATATTCTCACGACGGCCAGCACACTCGCATACGATCTCATGAAATTTTACGAAGGAAACAAGACGGGGGAAATCCCTGGCATCTTGCCAGGGCCACCAGATTCGGGCCAAGGTGATTACTACTGGTGGCAGGGCGGCGCCATGATGGGTACATACGTCGACTACTGGTATTACACGGGCGACGAGAGTTATAATCACGTCGTTACAGAAGGCATGCTCCATCAAGTCGGAGAAGGCCGCGACTACATGCCACGGAACCACACCGCCTCTCTCGGTAACGACGACCAAGGGTTTTGGGGCATGACGGCGATGCTCGCGGCCGAGAACAAGTTTCCCGACCCCCCAGCAGATAAACCGCAATGGCTTGCGCTCGCACAAGCCGTCTGGACGACTCAAGCGGATCCGGAAAGGCACGACGAGACATGTGGCGGCGGTATGCGGTGGCAGGTTCCCAGGACTAACACGGGGTACGATTACAAAAACACAATCTCTAACGGGTGTTTCTTCAATATCGGTGCTCGACTCGCTCGCTATACCGGCAACGATACGTATGCTCGCTATGCTGAACAGACATGGGACTGGCTATGGGCGGTAAACTACATCGATCACGAGAACTGGCGAGTCTACGACGGCGCCCATGTGCCGAAGAACTGCACCAACATCTTCAAGGCAACCTTTTCATACAACATCGCCGTTTTGATGCAAGGCTGCGCCTTTCTTGCGAATCATGTAAGTCGCCTCTGTGACCTCATATCAGTCGAGATGCTAACCCTCCGCAGACGGGAGAGCAGAAGTGGTTCGACCGCACCGAAGCCCTCGCAAACCGCGCCATCGAAGACTTCTTTGCCGAAGGCGTCGCATACGAAATCCCCTGCGAATTCGAGACAGGTCGCTGCTCCCAGGACATGCTGAGCTTCAAGGGCTACGTCCATCGCTGGATGACTGTAGTAACACAACTCGTACCCTCGACCCGCGATCTCATCCTTCCGGTCCTGCGCAACTCCACTCTATCAGCCATCAAGCAGTGCACAGGCGGTGCCTCGGGTCGCGTCTGCGGATTCTACTGGAACAAGGGCATATTTGTCGACCCGGCTGTCGACAAGACCTCTGGCGCGGGGGAGGCGATGAACGTGTTGGCCGCGGTGCAGAGTTTGCTGGAAGTGGCTCCTCCTGCTACGAATACCACTGGTGGCACTTCAAAGGGTGATCCTAATGCGGGAATGAATTCGAACCCGTTCAAGGAGTTTGATCCTCTCACTACCGGTGACCGTGCTGGCGCCGGCATCTTGACGTTTGTGGTTCTTTCGAGCGCTATTGGGATCTGGGTGTGGATGTCGCTTGGGTATCAGGAATGGACTGAAGAAGAAAAGGGCAAAGGGAAAGCTCCCCCCATGAGCGAAAAGGTTGATACTTCGGTAGAGAGTGTTGCACCGGCGAAAATAGCCAGCCAGGAAAGCTAGAGTTGGCTCAAAAAAGAGTGCATGTTGACAGCCGGGAAGAATCACAGGGAATACTCTGTTAGCCCTAAGGCTTGTGGCAGTATGAACATCTCTCAGTAGCATATGTACGGCGTTTGATGTAACCGATTTAACAGGAGAGATCCAAATTTATCACATGCTTCTTAATCTCCTATATAGCTCTCAGGCACATTTGTTGGGCGTTATTCTTGCTTCTTGGCGCTTGGCCATGACATCGGTCTCATTGAAACTATTATAACGGCACAGATATTGGTAGTTGAGTACTTGACTATTCGACCCTGCTGAATACTAGTAGGATTACTGGCAGACTTTGAATATTTATGATAATCGTCAATTACGACGAGATTTCACAGGGGATTTTCCAGCATGAAGTTTGTTTCGACGTACTAGTAATCACATGATATTGAATCTTATACAAGGTCGTGGGTATCGCACTATAATTACAAAGCAAACATAATCGTGAAATGTACAGCGTCTATCTCGTTGTCTTTCCACCATCCTCCCAGCTCTCGTCCACCCCATCGTTTACTTCGTGTGCGTGACATGGTTGGCGGTATAAGCAGGTGCCATGGGAGCGACGCCGCCATTGTTCGGCGCCACGTATCCAGCCTCACCAGGCTGAGCCATGTGCGCATATCCGTAGCCCTGGTTTTGGCCTTGACCATAGCCTTGGGTGTAGCCATAACCGTTGTTGGTGTTGTTGTTGTTGTTTCCGGAACCCGGGCCGGGCGGAGGGGCGTCAGTGCCGATGCTGGAACGGCCGTCGCCGCCGTAGTACTTGTTCATCTCTTGCTGACGCCTCTTGCTTTGGGTCTTGTGACGGCGGAAGAGACAGATACCAATGATGATTACGGCGAGGAAGATGACTACACCGACAACGATAGCTGCGATGATGCCCCCTCCGATTACTCTGACGCCGCTTCTGGTTCTGCCGATTCGGGTTGAGGTTGTTACGCGGGCGACTAGCTTTGCAACATCACGAGCAGTGTTTGTAGCTCCGAGTTGGATGGCGGGCATATTGGTGGCTTTTCTTGTCTTTGATTTGAGTGAAAATAGGTGGATCAAGGGCTGGATGAAGTGTTATTCTGTGACAGTTGTGGTTGATGCAGGGATTTCTTCTTGAGTTGACAACTTGTTGTGATGTTCTACAGGGAATTCATCAAGTAGGGTTAAGGAATACACTCAGTCTTTATCATTCTGAGCCGATACACTAGACTTCTAGAACGTCATCCCAAGTCCTTGAGCCACACGACAGAGACCACAGATTGATCGCCGCCCTAGTGATCCTCCATCACCGCCTCAGATCGTGCCAAACCAGCGCGATGCCAAATGACATCGGCTGTGGCACAGCATAGACCGAACCATCCCAATTAGGCAGTACGAGTGGCTGTCCGTCACTGTCGTAACTGAAGTCGCTGTATTGACACGTCTGGCTGCCTGATTCCAAGTTGTTGTGTGTGGTTGTAAAGTGGTAGCGGTCGCAGTAGCGCAACGCCAGAACCGCGGGATCGGCCGTTGATGTCATCGGTCTCACTGCCAAGGCGAAGGAGTGAGACCAGCCACAGCGACACTAAACTACCGCCAGCAGAGAGTAGACCTGTATTTTTGCTCGGCCGGTCGGTCTTCCGCGGGGTAGCAAGCATGAAGAGCACACGCCGTTCCAAGGCGGTTCGAGAAGGTTAATGGGCAAACGTTCCCGGGAAAACAGGAAAATGGGGCATTGTTCTGCGACTGCGCGGATTGAAACCGGATGCGGTCGTGGTGATGCTTAAGGTCCGTCCACACCAGCGCCGGTGAGAACCGACTCACCTGTTCCCCGCTCAAGTGACCAGCGGGGACCCTGAACATCGGCAATTTTCCGCCAGTAGATCTGGCGATTGTCCAGCCTAGTCAGACTACAGCTATTTCTGGATTGCAGTGATTGATGTATCACCTAATTTCCAGGAAAAGATGAGGTAAAGTGCACACCACAGTCGCATATTTCGCTCAACTGTAAAGGTCAAGTGAGTGAGATGAGTTTAAGAATCTTGTTCACGAAGAGCGGCTGAAGTAAAGGCGGCTTCAGACGTTACAGAATAGCGAGAGGCGACCCTATCGTAGACGGGATGCCACCACTTTTACTTCTCATAGCAAGAGGGCTAAAGGTCATCTGGCTCACTCCCGATGATGAATTAATGAGAGTCCACTCAAGACTCTTGAAGATTTCGGGTGATGTGTTTGTGGTGCTTGAAATAAATGACTCGCCGGGTTGATGGCGCATTTGTACGTAAGAAATTCCAGGGTGTTGACAATGGCGACCCTAAAAGGCGGACACCTGCCGATGACAATAATTGATTTTTGGCTTTCCACTGTAGAGAAAGTTTGATGAGGATCAGAATTTTCTTCATGGAGCATACATTATCATCTAGTTCTCCTACCGGACGATGAAGCATCCCTAAGTAGGTATTCTGTAGCAACCTTCCCAAGTGAACAGTCTCATTGGGTGGCTTGTGATGAGACGTACTGTGTCCATATGCCGAGGCCGTGATGGATCGATCTTCCGGTGGACCTCTTCTGAAAAATGGCACGAAAACACCAGACGAACCACAGTTACTATTCTTTACGGAGTACACCCGCTCAAAGTTGATCGCAGGCTCCGATGTATCGCCGCAAGTGGCCCTCCTCGCCATTCTCACCCCTCACTAATATCGGGAAATCCCTGCAGCTCGCGGGGGTTGGGCTGGATCGTCCAGATGGAGATGATCTGATAAGATAAAAAGTTATTGCTCACCACACTCACCCACGCACTATTCTGCCGCCCATCCATTCATGTTACGACTACACCCTTGTCTTCTCTTTCGAGCAGCCAGCAGCCTACTAGGGCCCCCCCAAATTTGGCGAAAAAATTGCTGCAGAATTGCAGAAAATCGCTCGCTCGCTTGAAGGAGGGGCGGGCGGAAACGTGATAACGAACGTTGGTTCTCGCCAGCCACAACTCTATCCCGAATCCGAGCGACAACTGGACGCCCGTCAACGGATGTAAGGCACAATCCAGGACCCTCTCTATCTCACAGTCTCTCTTCAGTCCTCATCTCTCTTATCTGAATCTTTCTCACACGGCCTTGCTTTTTGCTGCTGCAGCTGCCACCCTGGTATTCTCTGCACACTGGAGTTGAGTTAGCCGCGACGATCCGATCCAGCTCAGATGCCGCCCTTGGTCCCTCCTACGCGACGCTCGCGCAACGGCTGCATCGACTGCCGCAAGGCAAAGGTCAAGTGCGATGAGATTCGCCCCTCATGCGGAACTTGCGCTCGACGCAGGCTCGTGTGCCAGGGATACAAGACGCAGCCCGGCGCTGCACAACATGCCCGGCACTCACCCTCGTCTTTGCTGGCTGCCGGTGCTGGTGCCAGTAATACCGCTACTGCGGCAGCAAAGGAATCAGGGCCGGGATCTGCATCAAAATCCCCGGACCTCCTCTCCGTAGCCGTCTCCGCCGGGTCTACAAGCAGCAGCTCAACGACGCCGGCGGCGCAAAGAGCACCACCAGCTTCAAATCGACAGACACTGGCTCTGGATACACGCACTTTTTCTCTGCTTCCTCCGGGGTCGGTGCCCGTCGCGGATCAGCCGTATCTAGAAGTTTACTTCAACAGACATCCCTTCGAGCTGCTGATAGGTCACGAGTTCGTGTGCGAGATGAACGCCAATATCGTGATGATGCTGCAGCAAGATCCGGCGGTGATTGCTGACACGATTTCGGCCATTGGCTACTCATATGATGTCGGCAGCTCTTCCGCAGCGCTGCTGCCTGTACTGAACCGGAGGGCAAAGATCCTCGCAAACCTGAGGAATATGAAGCCCTCGAGTCATTACTTTGAAGAGGCGCTATTTCTGCTTCTCGGATTGTGTGCAATGGAAGTGAGTTCATGTTCTCCTTACCCCCTCTCTCTCCTGCGTGGGTCGGTTTTCATCACTTCTGCTTGGGACTGGACCATGAACCCGTGGACCTTGCATTAGATGGATGGATGGGCCACTACACCCCAGTGACCCGAATTGCATTGCTCACAGGGTCTAGCTCGTCACTCTGGCACAACCGGGACACCATGCAACCATACCCACAGTCCTATCAAACGTGGCCTCTCTTATCAGCCACCACGTTTCTACGGGAGGCGACGTATCTTCCGTGGCGAGATACTACCTTCGGGCACTGGCGAGACAAGATCTCGTCGTTTCTCTGATCCAGCTCCGCCGTCCTAGAGTTCCCAGCTATGTTTGGCTAGAGAATGAAGCAGCTAAGCCGGACCGTCTTCTGGGATATACCGTCACCCTCATGCCGCTGCTAGAAGAGCTGTGCACTCTAGCCGAGGAGGTTCGCGACCAGATCCTTCAGCCTGCTTTTCCAAATACTCTCTTGGGCGGTGGGAGTGCAACCTCGCCAACAAGCACAGAGGAAAGGGGCTCCTCGTCTCCGCCCATCTGCGTCGACAGCTGGCTCGACGCCGGCTACTCCAACCTCGCCTTTCGCGCCGACTCCCTCCGCCTGCGCCTCGAGTCCTGGAAGCCCACAATCTCAGACAGCCTCTCCTTCCGCGCGGCACGCAAATTCCGCGCTCAGGCTGCCTGCTACCGTGCGGGCGCCCTGCTCTACCTGCACCGGCTCTTCTGCCTCCCTGGATCCACGGCGGACGCGGACGGCGAGGCGTTAAGCAAGGCCCACGACGTGATGCTGTACACGAGCGGGCCGCCCTCCGAGTCCAAGATGCTGCTGTGGCCCGTCTTCATGGCCGCGTGCGAGATGCTGGACGCGGACGATCGGGCTGCCGTGCTAGACGTCTTTGACTCGATTGGCACGCATCGCAAGACGGTGACGGTTGAGCGGACGAGAATGTTTGTCGAGGAACGGGTTTGGAAGGCGAGGGATCAAGGGATGGAGTGGAATTGGATGCTTTTAGCGCAAGAGTTTCCGGGGGAGTGTTTGCCGATCTGATTCGATTTCCATCAACTGGGAGATCGGCCGGCGTGTGGGTGAGGTAATTAAAGAACTCACCCTGGGTTCGGGTTGTGGCGGCGGCGGCACGGCGGGCGGCATTTCATCATGAGCTGGGCCTTTCTCTCTCTCTCTCTCCACATCATAAGCATGATTTCTTGAAACAAAACGGGTGCATTAGCTTAGCTTGTAAAACTGTCTCCCAACGGAACATGTTGTCGTTGAAATAGGCTTCACTGCAAGCGCATCCAGTTGTTCGTGGATCGGGTCCCACGCGGTCTAGTCCTTGATGGTTAACCCGTTGTCTCGGATTCATAAGCTCTGAACCTGGCGACCACGTTGCGGCGCAGGCTTTGGCTATCTTTGCTATCATGACAGGCTATCTTGATAAAGCACGACAAGAACCTCAGTCGCAGTTTTGAAGCCTTGGACATGGTGGATGAACCAATCATCATTCACTACCGTTGGCACACTTGGCAATCCCGCATATGTCTCTAAAGCCTTGCTTAGCCAGCGCCAAGAGAGGATATCTGATCGGCCAGCTTGTCTTTACCATCGGTCGTCTTTTCCTCAAGTGGCCTTATTTCCATCCCAAAACTCAAGCTACTACTTTTCCAGTGTCTCCTAACAAAAATGGACGGATCAGGTGCGGGGTCCAATGTGACCTCGGAGACAATCGGCGTCACGCTTGGTGGTAGCGGGTGGGAAGACTGAAAAGTCTCTTGCTGATCCCTGGGGGTGGTCTTCAGGGATCTATGAATCTGATAAGGTCGAGCTGCAGATGGACTCGCACCACTCGATCAATCTGATAAGCCGCTGGGATGGAGGGTGGACTATCCCGTGTGGGGGCTGCGGTGTTTTATTACCGACATAAGAGCCACATCTGCTCTTTAGACCGAAGTATTCAGCAGAGTTGGAAAATTTGCACCAGCTACCGGGACGGTTCTCGAGCTTCAACTATTCGTCCGAGTTCCTCAACGAACTTGTCAGACATTGACGACTGTTGTCTGTACAGGAGATCTATTACAGACTCCCATCGCGTATAGGAACCAGGTGGGGATCGTCTTTCAACCCAAGACCCGCCATCGACTACGTCAGCCACAATGGCGAAAAGATTGCTCGAGAGATTTCGGGTGCGAGATGACCATGAGCACGGATACGAGACGACCAAATGGATCAATCCTGATATCGCACCTCTGCCTCCCAACAGAAGAACGTGGGGGATGTGGGCATTCCTTGGTTTTGGATCCATCTCCAAGTAAGTCTGGCAAAAGCTGCATTAGCTTAGGCATTTCACAACTTTTGTGTCCAAACGTGCTAACCATGTATTTACAGTCTTTGCATCTCGGCATGGACAGGCGCGGCGTCTCTGTTGTCGCTGGGTCTCACGATCCCGCAGACCATAGGCCTGATGATTCTGGCTAGAGCTCTGATTTGTCTGCTCGTCATTGGTAACGGATGGATGGGCTCCGAATGGCATATTGGCTTCACTGTGTCACAGAGGTAAGCGCTTGAAATTGTCGCTGAAGCTTTGCCGTGTAATGAGGCACGCGAGACTAACATGAATCCTGCAGAATCATCCTGGGTATGAACGGTGCCTACATCGGCCAGTTGATCCGAATCATGCTCTCCATCGTCTGGTATGGCTCCCAAGCCTGGCTGGGTGGTCTCTGCGTATCTGCCATGCTTAGCAGCTGGAGCTACAACTTCTTGATGATGGAGAACACGCTCCCAGAGAGCGCGCACATGGTCACTAGAGATCTGGTTGGATTCGTCATCTTTCACTTGATCTCGGTTCCCTTCCTGGTGAGAAACCCGAATTCGAGCTCCCAAGGCCTCTGACTAACACCGTTTCTGTAGCTCATCAGGATTGAGAAGGCCAAGATCCCCGTCATCACAGCCAACCTCATCGTCTTCGTCACAATGATGGGCATCACAATTTGGGCCTGCACCACTGGCGGCACAGGTCCCCTTTTCGAGTCCGGCGCAAAGCAGTCATCTCTTCTCACAAAGGAATGGGCCTGGGTCTACGGCATCATCGCATCGGTCGGCAACATTTCGGCGGGTATCCTTAACCAGTCCGACTTCACGCGTTTCGCCCGCAAACAAGGCATCCAGGTCCCTGGTATCGTTTTTTCCCTCTTCATCCCGGGAATGATCGTGCCCATCTTCGCCATCCTCACCGCCTCGGCGTCCATGGAGATTTGGGAGCTCGAGGAGCCTATGTGGAACCCACTGACTGTCATAACACAGTGGATGATGGACGACTACAGCTCCAAGGCCCGCGCCGGTGCCTTCTTTTGCAGTTTGGGCTTCGTTCTTGGTCAGATTGCGGAGAATATCCTCGGTAACGGATATGCTGCCGGTATGGATCTCGCGGGTCTGCTACCTACCTGGATCACCATTAAGCGTGGCGCGCTTCTTGCCGCGGCTCTGTCGTGGGCCGTTCAGCCGTGGGAGTTTTACAACACTGCTAGCACGTTCGTGTCTGTGGCCGCTAGTTTCTCCGTCTTCATGGGTCCCTTGACTGGCATCATGATGACTGACTACTTTGTCGTCCGCCGCCAGAAGATTGAAATCAGCCAGTTGTACACCGGATCCAAAGAGGGAGCTTACTGGTACACCTACGGATTCAACTGGAGAGCCTTCGTCGCTTGGGTCGTCTGCTTCGTCCCCGCCATGCCGGGAATGATTGCCGCCGTCAACCCCAACGTCAAGATTAACGATGGGCTTTATAAGTACTACCTTGGCAACTACATTTTTGGTTTCCTAGAGGCTGGAGCGCTCTATGCTCTCTTGACCTTTGTTTTTAAGCCGCAGAGGCTTGGGTGCCAGGACGACTTCGACCTCTACGGCACATTCGAAGATGATGTCGCGATCAGCAAGGGCATGGCGCCTTTTGAAAGACCCAAGGGGGTTGATGGGCCCATTGAAGGAAGATCAGTACATCTCCAAGATGACGACTCCAAGAACAAGCCTGGGCCATCCATCGCTGTTTGAAAATTTTGATACCCATACTTACATGTAAGAAGGCAGAATGCACTGGTGAGATTTTATCACTTATTGCAAGTCCTGTAGAAGGTGAAATATAGGTAGCTCAAGTTTCCATCATGAAACCTTTGGGTAATAATAAGCATTCCTTGGCTAGATGCGGCTGCTAAACCTCGCTATGCCCAATATTTTGCTATCACCTTTGTAAGACGTGCAACCCCGGCGATAATCTCCTCTTTCTGCAATGCCCAAAGTCAGTGAGTTCCAGTATCATAAGCGCGATGAAACGACTTACCGTCGGCGTCGCAAACGAGAACCTGAAATGCGCCGTGCGGGGATCAGCACCTCGGGCGGCAGTGGTCATCTTGTCAGGCCCCTGCCAGGCATGATAATACGATCCCGGAGTAAGAAGCACAAGTTCCGTCGCCCACGCCTGCCACAGCTCATTGGCAAAGTCCTGCTCTGGGTCATTGCTTTTTCCAGCTCCTTCAATCTCCATGAAGCGGTGGACCCCTTCAAAGTAGAATTTGCACCACACAAACATGCCAGCTCCGGGATCAACGAAGCTAAACACAGGCTTTATCTTGTCGCCATGGGAACTCTTGACGCACACTACAAGGCCCTGCGCTTCAGGCATAGGCGACTTCTCTGCTGGCAAAAGGTCAAAGTGGGCATCAAATGCGTCCAGAAGCCAGTCTCGCCTGGTACGGTACTGAAATTGTAGGTTTTGAAGCCACGTGAGGTAGCCGTCGATACCCCATTCTTGAAGGAGACCAAGGGCGAATGCTTGACTGAGACCAGCGGGGTCTTGTGTCTCAACTTCCGTTGCGCGGAGGAGACGTTCGGTGAAGACTGGGTTGGCGACGAAGTATCCCAAACGCAGGCCGGGGAACAGGGTCTTCGAGAAGGAGTCGAGACGAATGACTCTGCCTTGTGTGTCCATGGATAGGAAAGTGGGCACGAGGGTGTTAAGGAATTCTGGGATGGGCTTGGGCGTGAAGGATGTTTCTACAGAGGTCCCATAGCCTGGGTATTGGAGAAAGTAGTACGGATCATCTTCGACGATGATTATATCTACTACTCATCAGCAACTCTTCTGCAGTTGAATACGAGCGCTCGATCGTACCAAACTCAACACAAATCTCATAGATTTCTCTCCGTCTTTGTGTTGAGATAGTGATTCCTGTCGGATTGGACCCGACAGAGACAAGATAGAGTCTATTGCTCGTCAATCATTCACTGGATTCATAGCGCTTACATAGGTCTGCAGGGGCACTTACACTCTTGGTCTCCGCGACCCTCTTTCTCGCTCACCCCAACTCGACAAAAGGTGTCTGAGATTTTCCGCCATGATTCCAGCCGCATCAGCAGCAACTGGAACAGCTTTGATGCCCATTGGAATCCAGAGAGCCTGAGCAGAAGGGTACGTGAACTCTTCGACGATGACATGGTCCTCATCCTCGCAGAGTAATCCGACGACCTTTGCCCATGCATTGGTATTGCCAGGGTGCAGTAGGCACTCATACTCGCAGGGAGGCGAATGAATTCTTTCAGTCAGCTCTTTTACCAGAGATATCAGCTGCCAATTGCCAGCCCCAGAACCTGCGTGCTCAGTGTCAACATAATCATCCAAGAGTGAAATTATTGGCTGAAGATAGTCAGAGCGGAGATACGTACCATATTGAAGAAATTGAGTCAAATCCAGATCCCCTGTAGATAGACCACGCCCGAATATCAGGCTCACTCCGTCACTTTTCTCCTGGTCGAGGGAATGACGATCCTCTGTAAGTGAAGCTGCGGGGGGTAGACAGTCGAATTTGGCTCGTTCAAGCGGAAAGAGAGATGGATGAGGTAATCCTATCATTGTCAAACTTTGACCCATTTCATTCATCAGAGACTCGGTGTTTTACCTCCGGCAAAGCTCACCATGCCATCATGTCCCATGAATTTGATGATGTCTTTCAACGGCGAGGGATGACGGGCTCTGCTCTTGGCATTGATATGATGGGACAGATCCAGCTTAGTAGAGCTGTTTCCAAGGCTCCCCATACTGTCGTCTCTCTTCGTGTAAGTTGTACGGTAAGAGACAGTTGATGCAAATGCCAGCTCAAGGGAAACAATATCAATAGTAGATGATAAGTTTACTCAGTCACTGACGAAAGCATGAGAACCTTTGAGAACCTTTGAGCTCCTTGCCGAAGCTTGTGGCATCTTTTCTAAGCTAGTGTTCATAGGGCGTCTACATGCTTTGGCCTACTCAGTCATTTCAATTCACATATCGAGAGTCGGCTCATCGGACGGAGATCCGGCCGAAGCTCGAGGCGATATCTTATCCGTTGGCTGCCCGCGGGAAGGGATTCAAGCGTTATCGGCCCCACATCGGAATGGATCTCGGAGCCCCGCCGGAGTCCATTTCTGTCGCCGAAACTGTAGCAGGAGCTGTCGACAGCATACTATTCATGAAGTGGTTATGGGATTGAACTGTTTGTTGGATCATCGATACTCACTCATCATAGTTGTGACAGAAACATCGCATCATGGGCAACACCATCTCATACCAAGAAACGCCAATCGAGCTCAAGTTGGGCGACCGGGGAACAATCCGCGGCCTCCAGTTCGACGATAAGTCCAGGCGCTTCACTGGCGTTCCCTACGCACTGCCACCGACTGGCGAGTACCGATGGCGGAAGCCGCGACCATTACCCACATCATACTCATACACCGACGATAATGGAGGAGCATACGACGCAACCAAGTTCAAATCTGTATGCCCTCAGAAGGCCTTCCACGTAGTCAAGCCCGACGGTGGAGGAAACACCTACGGCGAAGACTGTTTGTTCGTCAACATCTGGACTCCGGTTCCCAAAGAAGACGAGGAAAATAAGAGATGGCCGGTGCAGCTCTGGATTCATGGCGGGTGGTTCCAGATGGGTGATCCATCGCAAGAGCCGGGTATGGATGCAACGGAGCTGATTACCACGGGTGGCCTCAACGCAATTGTTGTAGCTATCGGATATCGACTCAACGTGTTTGGTTTTCTTGCGGGGAATGACCTCTTGCAAGAGAGCAACGGTGAAGCGGGCGGCAATTTTGGTCTTTGGGACCAACGAGTGGCTGCGGAGTGGGTGAGAGACAATATTGCTCATTTCGGAGGAGATCCGGAGAACGTGACGCTTGCCGGCCGGAGTGCTGGGGCATACAGTGCCGAAGCTCAGATGCTCTATGACTTTCGGAAGATTGGAAGCGACTCTTCGCTGTATCACCGCATCTTCATGGACTCAAACGCAATTCCAGCCCAGCCGAAAACTCTCGCCGATGTCCAAGGCCAATTCGACGAGCTTTGCGACTACTTCAAGATTGACGCCGCAGTTTCCGGAGCAGAGAAGCTCTCGATTCTCCGGGGTAAAAGCGTCGAAGAGCTTTTGGCAGCTATTCCGCAATTGAAAAACCACACCTTCCGGCCCGTCACAGACGATGTCTTCATACACTCGGGTATGATCGAGTATCTCCAGGGCAAGGACTTCGCAGATGAATTCAAGCGAAGAGGGTACAAGTTACTCATTGGCGAGGTTCGCAACGAGGAAACTCTCTACTCATCATATAATGCACCAACTGAGCCCACGCTGGAAGCTCTGCGCTTGCAAATCTCAAACTACTACGCTCCAGACGTCACAAATCGCGCAATTCAACAGTACCAGCTGCCAGAATCAGACAAGCTACAAGACTGGCAAACAACATTTGGTAAGGAGCTCCTTTGCAAGGTGATTAATTTGTTCCGGTGCCATTGCTACTGATGACATGCCACAGGATCAATCGTTTCGGACGGACAAGTGCGCGCGCCGTCCAGAGCACTTGCGAAAGCGCTAGTCGACAACGGCGTCGATATTCGAGACGTGTGGCGGTACCAGATTGCCTACAGGCTGTCCTTCATTGACGAGAAGGTGGCGCCCGCTTCCTTCGGGGTGGCGCATGCCATGGACAGGCCCATCTGGAAGTGAGTTTGATTCTCTCCTTTTCTTCCTTGAACCCAGCACCTACTGGCTACGCCCTCTTGCTGACAAGTTCACTCAACCCAGCTTCTCAATCACCCATGGCCCGACACCGACCGAAAGACAATTGATGGAAGACTGGATTCAAATCTTGGTTAACTTTGTGAACGATACCGAAGGCTATGAATACGGGACGAATAGTGTTGAGGAGATGAAGGTCTTGACTCCAGAGGCCACAATTGAAGTCCGACCCGATGGGCGATGGAGCGAATTGGTGAAGTTGGGAAATATCTTCGCTGGCAAGTAAGCTACTGTAGAATCCGAGGCGGCCAGTCACATTCGTCTGAAGACGTTCCTACGGTTCTCTGCAAGCTCGTGAGGATTGAATGTTTGGGGCGCAAGATGTCACACGTTTGTTCGCTAGCGATGCGAGACGGTGGCCAGAGCCTGGAGGCCAGCCATTTTGCTTCCCATGCGTGTGCTAGGCCAGGAATAGCGCCTTGCGTGAGCTAATACTATGCCTTCGGGGGGAATCAAGAATTTAGCTCATCGTATTAGGGCTGACGGACATGGGTTCGGATCCTATTGCTTACTTCAATTTCAACCCGACACCACCTAAGGTGAGACCGATCTCACTCTAGACGCGCAGTTACCTCATATAGTCAGGGGTATCGCCGCTGAGAATTGGTAGACTCAGCTGCCTGGCGTCCCACGGGTTGCCCCCAATAGACAATATGTAATTCTGCCGTCGCACATTCGGAACTTCAATCCCCATTTCGCGTTATTCAAAACTTTAGTCGCAGGGGCAATTCACACCCGTGATGCTTCACTCACTACGATGGTCAGCCTGGGGTCCAGAATACTGGGCCCTCGTCGGCGGCATCATCTCCTTCACAGCAATGGTGGTGCTCCTCGCCCACTTTGACGGCAAGCCAATCTCCACATGGAACGGGGTGACACTCAACGCGGTAGTGTCGATATTGTCAGTAACGATGAAGGCTGCTGTCGCATTCGTCCTTTCGGAATGTCTGGCTCAGTGGAAATGGATCCTCTTCACTCGCGAAGACAGGCCGCTCATGGACTTCGACCGTATCGACGCCGCCACCCGCGGCCCTCTTGGAAGCTTGCGAATCATTTTTCGTACCCAAGGCGCGTGAGTTAACCTCCAGCATGTTCCACCATCTCAAAGAAGGTTGACTGACACATTTGGCAACAGTTACGCCGTTCAACTTGGTGCTATACTGACGCTGCTTGCCGTTGCTCTCGATCCCCTCGCCCAGCAGGTGATTCAAGTTCGAGAAGGCGTTGTCTATACGCGAAGCACTCAGACGGACAAGGGGCCGCTTGCGCTGAACTCCGGCACGCAGACCTACTCCATGGGCACAGCGCAAGTCACAGAATCTTCGAGCCAAAACTCGACCACGAAGGAGTATTGGGTTTCAACGAACACGCCGCTGTCCATGCAAGGCGCAATCTTGAATGGGCTATCCAAATCACGCTGGGAAGTGGAACAAGAGGCATTGATCCAATGCCCCACGAGCAACTGCACATGGGACCAATTCAAGAGCCTAGGGATCTGCCACAAATGCAACGACCTCACATCAGAACTCAAGCAAGTCGGGGGGTTCGGACAGGCGATTATTGCGTTGGCAAACACCACATTAGCTGGCTATAAAGTCCCGGGTACAGCATTCGTCCTGCCAAACGGTCACTTCATTGCCAACATCGATGGCTGCCCGCCATACAACGGACGTTACGCAGAATGCGAAAATGAACAGCCGTTGGGCGTCTATTCGGATGACAAGTACACAACCACATCATTCGGAACCGGAATCCCAAGCAAAACCAACTCCATGAAGGATGTTGACACTCTCTTGTGGTCAATGAGTATCATTCACCCAGACATGGAGGCACTCAACAAGTCGTCCGGCTTCACTCCCGGTAAGTCGGATAGGGGCTCTACGGCCGGACTCAAACTTTGGCCAGACATACCGATGCAAGCCACAGAGTGCGCGCTCTACTACTGTGTCAAGCGGATCAACTCGGCGGTCGAAGGCAACCAAATCCAGGAGAACGTCACGGAAGCCCTGGATTCGAGACGAGATCCAGATTCATGGAAACGCTCCTCAGAGTACGAGGACGGCCAACCAGAAAATGTCATTTCGAAAGAAGCAAACGGCACGCTGGAGTTTGACAAATATTGGTCTGCTGTTTACAACACCGACCTGAGGCTCGAATTTCCCCACATCAGTAACGAGGGCTACTACCGAATTTCCCAAGACTCTGTTAAGTCCATGGGCGCACACATGCAGGAGCTGTTACGCACCAATCTTTCAGGCACTCTGGACCAGAGAGAAGAGATCGAGAAGATTTTAGGATCTGACGCGGTCGGCTTCAATGGCGCATCGTTCGGGCCATTTGAAGCGGAAAAGTGGTCGATGAAGGCTACACCACCGGCGTTAAATGGTCTCTGGACCTGGACCAGACATAACATCACTAGCACATTTTACACCCTAGCAACAAGCATGACCAACGAGATGCGAAGGAATTACGCGCCGGGTCAAAGTCTGAAGAGCGGCCAAGATACGGATCGCTTTCAAGACGGTTCTCTGAGTTACTACGGCAAGGTGGGCAAGTCCACAGTGCTGTACCACATCGAGTGGCCGTGGATTGCTCTCCACGGTGTGATGCTTATCTCGGCGATCGCGTTCTTGTTCACAACACTTGGGAACTCCAACAGTCGAGGCAATGTACCTTTATGGAAGAGTAGCTCCTTGGCCGCCATCAGGCATGGGCGTGATGTTGGTGGTGTTTTGAGTCGCACCACCACCATGGGTGAGATGGAAGACACTGCGAGGAAGGTCCGCGTGAATTTGCGCGGAGAAGAAAACGAGGAGACCAAATCTTGTATCGACCGTACAACTGGTTCAACCCCGTCTGAGCCATAGATCAGTCGTTTACTGAAATTACCCTATTAATATCGCGACATGGAGCAAACCGTAGATCCCAAGGCTGGCTAATACTTGTACCTGAAGTGAATGTTCTCTCTATCCGTCATATCTGCTTCAGCGTTCAACTTTCCAAGACGCTCGCTCTCCTCTTTGGAAATACCTTGCTCGTTGACAACCTTGTCCCGCCTCTTGTTCTCCCAGATGTCTTAAAGTAAAGGTTAGCTTTCAAGTTCGAACGTATTGACAGTAGCATCGGGTAGGCACTTACAATAGAAACGCCAAGTCGCCATGCTGCAGAACTCAACGCAGTAGAGAACAGCACAAGCAGTGAGACCACGAATGTACTTTGGAGCGTCGGACGCTACGAACATTTGGGCGCCCACCGCATTACCAACACAATAGGCAACGAAGAGGACTGTAGACGTAACAGTCTTCTTCGTCCTTCCTGCAACGTTTGAGGGCAAGAAGGTCCAGATCACTAAGTTGCGTTAGTACGCGGTGCTCACAAGAAATGGAAAGGGTAATAGTGAACAGCAGAAAACTTACTCAGACCTGGCAAGGAACCAAAGACCTGGAGGATGTACATCCCCCATCTCGTCCATTTCATAGAGTCTGTGGGAAGGAATGCCAGAGCCATCATGCCACTGAAGGCTGGCACGAGAGAAAACATCATCATCAAGACTTAGAAAGCCAATGGTCAGTTGATGTAAGGTTCAAGCTCTCGTCGTTGTGCACTTACATCTGAGATTTGGCTTCTTCAACGTGACGAAGCCAACTACCAAAAACCAGACAATGCTCACGCAGTAGTAAGGAGTGGAGCCCTTCAACAACGTCTCCAGCGGTGTGAACCCAAACGACTTCCAAATCAGTTTCGAAAACGTCGTATTCGCTCCGTTAGGGAGGGCGTTGATGATGGTGACAAAGAAGAAGAAGTAGGTTTGAGGATCTGCGCACAAGTTTCAGTTTTCGCTCGTCTTTGTATCTCCAGGCGATGCTTACCCCTGAATGTCGACCACACCTGGTCCCACTTGAACTCGGATCTCTTTTGACGATCGGAACCTGTCTGGTTGACGATGACGCGGGCCATCGCGGCTTTCTTCTCTTCTTCATTGAGCCATCGGACTTCGCGGGGCGTACCGAGGATAAACCAGACGAGGATCCCACACGCGATGGTCAGGCCGCCGAGGAATAGGGAGATCCCCTTCCACTAACAAGCATTTGTTACTTCAGGTCGTTCGTGAGCAGATCTGGGCTTGACTTACTGCAGCCAAGCCACCAGGGTCTTTCTGAGCGTGTAGTCCGATTCCATACATGCAAAGCCCGGTAATGATGTTCATTCCAGCATTGGATGTTCCCCAAATCAGAGACCTCAGGGTGTGCTCCTGGGAAGTATACCAGGCTCCGGTAATGAGCATGAATGTCGGAGAGATCGTGCACTCGAGAGCACCCTGCAGCGTACGAAGAATCATAAGGTGCGCAAAGTTCTTAGCAAAGGCGATGCACAGAACAACGACACCCCACAGCACCATCACAACCGACAGGAATTTGCCAGTGTGACTCTTCTGTATCAACCAGTTTCCCGGGAACTCGCAGAAAAGGTAGGAGAGATAGAAAATCGTGCTCAGCCAGTTGAACTGTTCGCCCACGAGACCGGTATCTTCTCGCAGGCCGAAGACGGCTTGGACACTGAGGGATGTCTTGTCGGCTTGTTGCGTGCCGTAGCACACCCACATCAATGGCAGAAGCCATAAGTCGATCTTGAAGCGAAGTTTTCGAAAGTAACTATCGGAGTATTCAGTCGCATCTGCGATAGTGCCCTCGAGAATGTCGTCTGGTTTGCTGGTCTCGTCAACTTCGGAAAGCTTCTTGGCATCGACTACGGAAGCCATTCTGGATACGGAAGCTGATCAAATTGCGGCTGACGATATCCGGATGGGAAGTTTCGTAAACAATTCCGTTCAGATTTCTGCTTCGAGACCAACTCAAGGGTCCACTCAATCAGGAAGAGAGAGCCATTGTTTATATCTGTGACTATCTTCAAGAGCGTTCAACTGGTCCTGGTTCTACAGATTGCAATTGTTATCAAATCGACTCCTGGTCCCTCGAGTCCCTGGTTCCATCCTGAGATATTTCGGCCGGATCTCTTCCGGGCAACTCCAACTCCTACTTAGTACCTTAGTGTGGTAGCCGCGATACCGGAGATAACGGGCCAGACCACATTCCTGGTCACAACGGCCATTCGCCGATAAGAGTGGCCGCGTTGTACAGAGCTAGGCATCTGATTGGCAAAGCTCTTCTGATTGCGAGCAAACAACGGTCCGGGATCCGGCCGAGCTTACATGGGCTCGTTGATCATGAGTAGAGAACGACGGTCGGATGTAAGGTTGTAAACATGACGGTTAAGGACCTGCTTACATGTATGTACTCGTGCCAGTTAATTGAAAAGAAATTTCCTATCAAGTACGATATGACCTACTTGGAGTAGTGAAGCAGTAGAATCGCACAAATTTCGTAACACAGGCTCCGAGCGTCACACAAAGGAGACACAGCACCATGGCCAACCAAATCCAATCACCCGTCATGGGTACATCAGGAAAGACAAGGCTACGCGATTCACTGGAGCGCGCAGCCAGAGGTCAAGGGCCTAGTGTCGGCCAATGGCTAGAGTTTCCCGGCTATTCTCTGGCGAGGACAGTAGCGCCTTTGGGTGAGGATGTGAGTGAATGGCTTGGCTCTATCACGCACTTTCCAAGCTGACTGAAGCGTACAATACAGTGGGTTCTTATAGACATGGAGCACGGGAACATCGATGACAGCCAGATGTATCTTCAAGTCGGTGCGATCTCATCCTCAGGGGCGTCTCCAATTGTGCGGATACCAGCTTCAGAACATTGGATGATGAAAAGAGCTCTGGATTGTGGAGCGCATGCTATAATGGTTCCGATGTGCGAGACCAAGGCAAGTCTCTACCATGTTTTACCAACCTCGCCTTGGACTAATGTCATATCAATCAGGAGCAAGCTGAAGCCATCGTCCGCGCTTGCAAGTATCCCTCCTCGCGCTGGCCACAAGGTCTTCGAGGCGCAGGCGCTATGTTTGCCCCCGCAGCCTTTAACCAAACCGGCCGTGAGTACCTTCTTACCGCCAACGACAACGTGATGGTTTGCGTACAAATAGAGAGCCGAAAGGCCGTAGAGAACGTTGGAGAGATCGCCGCTGTTGATGGCATCGACATGTTGTTCATCGGACCCAACGATCTTGCTTCATCCATGGGATATGTGGCATTTGACCATGCCTCGATACCAGAAGTTCAGGAGGTGTCAGCACGCGTGCTCAAAGCCGGGCTTGATGCTGGGAAATATGTCGGTCATTTTGCACTTAGTGCTGATGCTGCGGCATTAAAGTGTGAGCAAGGGTTTCACTTCGTCAACTGCGGAGCCGACATCGTTGCCATCACAGCTTGGATGTCAGGGGAAATGGCCAAGTTGAAAGACTTGGTAGAGGCTATGGGAAAGCAAAGAGGCGAGGTTAAAACAAAGACACACGGAAAGCAGGGAAATGAGGTTTTAGAAGATGTCGTATAGTCATAAATAGGGGCATTGATATTAAATATAGAGAACGGGTATCTATTAAAAGTAAGAAATAAGTACGAGGTTCGCCCTAAAATAAAAAATATAAACAAATATAAACCTTAAGTAATTATATAACTAAGGTTATATAATATATAATAAAATTATAAATACTTAAAGTTATTATAATATACCTTCCTAAATAAATCCTTATTTAAAAAAAGTGCGCCGAACTACCTATATTATTATAAAAAATATTATTAAATACGTAAATTTAAATAATATTATATAAAAGTTTATTTATAAAAAGAATTATAAAATAAATCGTATTACGTATTAAGTTATAAGTATAAAATAAATAAGTAATAGTTTATTAGCTATATTTATTATTATAAGTAATCTCAAAGCTCTTTTATTAATAATAAATAAGACTAAGAAATAACCCCTTATTAACTAAATAATTAGTTTATAATTTAAAGTAAGTAAGTAAATAAATTTTTTATAACTACTTATTATTTTAATTTTTTTTTTAATTTATATTTATATATTAATTATATATATATATATTACAACTTAATAAATATAATAAGGCTAGGGGCCGCCCTATAGGACCTATAATAACTATTATATTATATATATAAAAGAATAAACTTAGGATAACTCCCCTTAGGATAAAAGAATTATAAATAAATTACGTAACTATAATTATATAATAAAATAAAAAACGAATATTTATAAAAAAATAAAATAGATGATTATATATAAATAGGATGAATAACTATTTAGTAAATAATTAAGTAATTATAAATAATAATATTATAAAAAATATATTTATAAATAAGATTTATATATAATATAGCCTCGAGCTAAGTTTAAAAATAGACTTTTTATAGCTTTTTTAATAATTAATTTAATATTAAATTTTATAATTACTTTTAGTTATTTTTATTAAAAACCCCTTTTAATAAGATTATAATTAATTATTAAAACTTTATTTATTTTATAATTTATAAATATAATTTAAAAAAAGTTATTTATAATTACGATATTATTTATTTAGTTATTATAGCCTTAACTTTTATTAATATATTTATTATAACTAATTAGTTATAATATTTTAATTATTCCTATTTAATAAATTTATTTTATAAAAACTAATTAAATAATATAAATATATTAATTATTAATAATAATAGTATTGGGTAGCTTACTAAGGTAGTTACGCTTATTATTTAATAATTATATAATATAATATTTAAACTTAAGAATAAGAATAAGTAATTTTATATTTAGCTTATAATACCTCGACTTCCCTTAGTACTTAAAACTAAGTATCCCGAATTAGAACTTTATAATAAGTTCCCGGATATATTCTAAAGATTTTTTATTTAAACTAAGGCCTATTTATATTATTATAAAACCTTTTTTATTATTAAAATAAATAAAGTTTATTATATAGCTTTTTTTTTTAAAAAAGGACGCCCTTATTTAGTTTGAACCCTTAATAAAAAACTATTTTAAGAATAACTACTATATATAAAATAAAAATATTAAAAAAATCTTTATAAACTATATTAAATTTAAAAAAAAAATTAAAAAAACCTTTAATAATCCTAATAAAAAACGAGTTATTAAATAAAAATTTATAAACTTTAAATAAAAAGGGTTTATTAATAAGTACGCTTCGGAGTTCTAATAAATTACTTCTAAGCTTAATTAAAATAATAAAGTACTTATAATATTATTTTATTACGGCTTAAAAAAAAAAGTTAAAAATAAACTCTTATATAAGAAACGACTTAATAAACTTTATAAGTATATAAATATAATAATTAAAATCGATAACCGACTTTATAAATAATATTTTAAGTATAAGGGTTAGAATATATAAAATAACTAACCTAAATTTAATATTAAAAAAAAGTATTAACTTTTAATAATTATTATAAGTTATTATAACAGACTTATAAGCCTTAGCGTTATTAAAAAAAATAACCCTGCTTAAAATTTTTTTTTAAATATTATAATTATAATAAATTAAAATATATAATTAGAAACTATTAATAACCTAAATATATTTAATACTAGCCTATTTTAAAAAAACGAGTTAATATTATAAATAAAAAAATCCTTTATAAATAACTTTTATAAATAGCTTATTATAATAATAACTACTTTATTTACTAAAATAATAAAAAATAAACTAAATAGTACCCTAAAAAACCTAAAAATAATAAATAATTAAAATATAATACTACTACTCTACTTATTAAAATACTAGCTATTATAATTAAAAAAAAAACTATTTTAATATATTAACTAAATATTTTTAAAAATAATAATTTTAAATATATCGCTATACTTTTTTAAATTTATAAAAATATAAAAAAAAAAGTTAAAACGGACCTTATTATAAAAAATACCCTTTATTTTTTTAAAAAAAAAATTATATAAAGACTTTAAGTAAATATAAAAAAGTAACTTTTTAAGTTTAAAAAAAGAGGCCCTGATATAAAAAAAATCCTAACTAAGTCTATCTATATAATAAAATAAGAAAATAATAATAAAAAATTTATTTATAAAGTTAAAAAATAGCTTAGAGATTTATTATATAAAAATAGAATTAAGATAATTAAAAAACTAGACCTCGATTTTAAAAAAGTTAAAAGAAAAATTAACTTTTAACTTAATAAAAAACCTTATGCGAGCCTAAATAAACTTATTTTTAATAAAAAATCGCTATATAACTTAAATAAACCTCGTAATATTACTTAATAACGTACTTAAATAGAAATTAGTTATAAATCCTATTTTAATATTAATAATACTAGTTCTAAAAAGGATTTTAATAAGAATTAATATAAGAATATTAACTTATTTAATAACGAATAAATACTATAGTTTTATAAAATAATAGAACTTAAAAAAGTTCTTATAATACCCTAAGTAAAAAAAAATAGCTCCTTATTTAATACTAAGGATATATTTTATAAAAAATTATTTTAAGTAAAATACTTAAATAATAAGTACTTTTAGTACTTCTTATTTAAAAAAAATAGCTATTTTTATTTATAAAAATATAATAACTAACTTATTAAAAATATTTATATTAATAACTAATTACTAAACTAAATAATTATATATTTTAATAAGATTTATAAAATAATATTTAAACTAAGTTTAGACTTCCCTATATAATATTAAAATAATAATAATATAATATAAACTAATTATAAATATAATTAATATTAGATTTACTATATTTTTAAAGTACGAGCCTAAAAAAAATAATAAAAATAAATAAAATAAAAAGAATAATT